TGAAAGATGATACTCTGCAATATCTGGAACTATACTCATCCGGGAGAAGTGCAGTACATATAGACTATAAGATTGGACGTGGTGCTTCCCAGTTTCTCAATGTTTGACAGAGGCATTTTCTGTCCCATCCATTCAACACATATTAAGTTCATGCATCTTACCCCATCTTGTTTGGTTAAATCGTTAAATCCTTATTTTGGTTGGAAAAAATGCCCCCGTTTGTGGAGTCCCAGTGTTGGTGATTCAATCCAAGTTGTTTATATGTCAATATCTTTTATATACCAGTTTAAATTGGGCTTGGCTAACTACCAAAGCTAGGCAAAGTCCCAATTTTGTCTCACGGATTTTCCAATGTTGTTCCTTGAATTCCAATAAATTGGTGATATATATATAATTATATAATAGCTATTTATAGCTGGCTATTTATAGCTGGCTATCTTTAGCTATTTATAGCTGTTTATAGCTATGTATAGTTATTTAAAGCTATTTATAGCTATTTATAGCTATTTATATATAGCTAGTTATAGCTATTGATAGCTATTGATAGCTATTTATAGCTATTTATAGCTATTCATATATAGCTATTTATAGCTATTTATAGCTATTCATATATAGCTATTTATAGCTATTTATAGCTATTTATAGCTATTTTTAGCTGTTTATAGCTATTCATATATAGGTATTTATAGCTATTCATATATAGCAATTTTTGCTATTCATATACAGCCATTTATAGCTATAGCTATTTATAGCTATTTATAGCTATTCATATACAGCTATTTATAGCTATTCATATATAGCTATTTATAGCTTTTCATAGATAGCTATTTATAGCTATTCATATATAGCTATTTATAGCTATTCATATATAGCTATTTTTAGCTATTCATATCTAGCTACTTATAGCTATTCATATATAGATATTTATAGCTATTCATATCTAGCTATTGATAGCTATTCATATCTAGCTATTTATAGCTATTCATATATAGCTATTTATAGCTATTCATATATAGCTATTTATAGCTATTCATATATAGGTACTTATAGCTATTGATATATAGCTATTTATAGCTATTCATATATAGCTATTTATAGCTATTTATAGCTATTTAAAGCTATTTATAGCTATTTATAGCTATTCATATCTAGCTATTTATAGCTATTCATATCTAGCTATTTATAGCTATTCATATATAGCTATTGATAGCTATTCATTTATAGCTATTTATAGCTATTCATATATAGGTATTTATAGCTATTCATATGTAGCTTTTTATAGCTATTCATATGTAGCTATTAATAGCTATTCATATATAGCTATTTATAGCTATTCATATATAGCTATTTATAGCTATTCATATCTAGCTATTTATAGCTATTCATATATAGCTATTTATAGCTATTCATATATAGCTATTTATAGCTATTTATAGCTACTTATAGCTATGTTTAGCTATTCATATATATAGCTATTTATAGCTATTCATATCTAGCTATTTATAGCTATTCATATATAGCTATTTATAGCTATTCATATATAGCTATTTATAGCTATTCATATCTAGCTATTTATAGCTATTTATATATAGCTATTTATAGCTATTCATATATAGCTATTTATAGCTATTCATAGCTATTCATATATAGCTAATTATAGCTATTCATATCTAGCTATTTATAGCTATTCATATATAGCTATTCATAGCTATTCTTATATAGCCATTTATAGCTATTCATATATAGCTATTTATAGCTATTCATATATAGCTATTTATAGCTATTCATATATAGCTATTTATAGCTAGTTATAGCTATTTATAGCTATTTATAGCTATTCATATATATAGCTATTGATAGCTATTCATATATAGCTATTTATAGCTATTCATATATAGCTATTGATAGCTATTCATATATAGCTATTTATAGCTATTCATATATAGGTATTTATAGCTATTCATATGTAGCTATTTATAGCTATTCATATATAGCTATTTATAGCTATTTAAAGCTATTTATAGCTATTTAAAGCTATTTATAGCTATTTATAGCTATTTATAGCTATTTAGAGCTATTCATATACAGCTATTTATAGCTATTCATATCTAGCTATTTATAGCTTTTCATATCTAGCTATTTATAGCTATTCATATATAGCTATTGATAGCTATTCATATCTAGCTATTGATAGCTATTCATATATAGGTATTTATAGCTATTCATATTTAGCTATTTATAGCTATTCATATCTAGCTATTTATAGCTATTCATATATAGCTATTTATAACTATTCATATCTAGCTATTTTTAGCTATTCATATCTAGCTATTTATAGCTATTCATATATAGCTATTTATAGCTATTCATATCTAGCTATTTATAGCTATTCATATCTAGCTATTTATAGCTATTCATATCTAGCTATTTATAGCTATTCATATCTAGCTATTTATAGCTATTCATATATAGCTATTTATAGCTATTCATATCTAGCTATTTATAGCTATTCATATCTAGCTATTTATAGCTATTCATATCTAGCTATTTATAGCTATTCATATCTAGCTATTAATAGCTATTCATATCTAGCTATTTTTAGCTATTCATATCTACCTATTTATAGCTATTCATATCTAGCTATATCTAGCTATTCATATCTAGCTATTTATAGCTATTCATTTATAGCTATTTATAGCTAGATATAGCTATTTATAGCTATTTATAGCTATTCATATCTAGCTATTTATAGCTATTTATATATAGCTATTTATAGCTATTCATATATAGCTATTTATAGCTATTCATAGCTATTCATATATAGCTAATTATAGCTATTCATATCTAGCTATTTATAGCTATTCATATATAGCTATTCATAGCTATTCTTATATAGCCATTTATAGCTATTCATATATAGCTATTTATAGCTATTCATATATAGCTATTTATAGCTATTCATATATAGCTATTTATAGCTAGTTATAGCTATTTATAGCTATTTATAGCTATTCATATATATAGCTATTGATAGCTATTCATATATAGCTATTTATAGCTATTCATATATAGCTATTGATAGCTATTCATATATAGCTATTTATAGCTATTCATATATAGGTATTTATAGCTATTCATATGTAGCTATTTATAGCTATTCATATATAGCTATTTATAGCTTTTCATATCTATCTGATTTATAGTTTTGCCAGAATCAACAAATTGCTCGTTTTTCCGCATCGAGGTCAACGGCCACAGTGCTGCTGTCTCGGAAACCGACCGCTCAAGCGGCTGTGCTTGCTGTGGGTCGGCATCAACGCTCCGTCCCCGTCTCTGGGGGTCCCGAGTTACGTTGACGTTGAATCATGTGTTTGTACGGGCGATTTCACCACCAAATGGTGATTTAACCATGCAAGATGGGGAATATAGTATGTAGTGTATGTAAATAGTAAGGGAGTGGTAAATGTACGTAAATGTCCTGCTTAAACATCACCCAATAGATCTATAGTTGATGAATAATAGGTTTTAATTACAAGCCATTTTATCAATGGGATAAGCCTAGTTGGGGGACCTACTAACCAGGGTTAGTAACGAGTTGCTTTCGCGGGGTGATCCTCCAACTAATGTGGTAGACTCAATGCCATAGTCACCATCAGGTTTTAGGTGACTATGGCATTGGCCATACCACTGTGACTTGGATGATGTAAAATGGACCTCTAGGATGGTGACTGCATTGGCTTTCCCACAGTGGTGATATTTCATCTCCAACCGATACTTGTTTTGGTGATGCAAACTAACTCCCCAAAAAGGGACATTTATCAAGCCCTGTTACTGGTTTGATTGGAAAACATACCGGAAAATGACCCACAAATCCACTGGTGAATCATCAGTTTTCCATTGGAGGCATCAAATGGCATCAAGTGGTCATATATCGGAGGCATACGCCATTCCCAGACCCATTTCTGATATATATATATGTATATATATATATATTGCACATGTCATTTCTGATTATTGCTGGTGTAGTTCCAATGAGAAATAACGGGTTTATATAGCTTTATATGTATATATGGCTGGAATCATAATCGGATAGTACTTGGGATCACAATTGGGATTGTACGACATTATGCTGGGATCAATTTGGCTGGTCCCATCCCACTTTTCAGGATCTCCAACTTTACCCCGACTGTTCAGCAATCTGCTGATGAATTGCATCCGCGTAAACTCATTGACTCATTGTACGGTTGCAAATATGTGTAAATAAAACAGGGATGTGGCTATTGAGCCTTTGCTGATCGATTAATTTTATGTATGTTTAGTATGTTTAATGGGGTAATACTAACCCAAAAGATCCATTTGTTTCAATACATTGGGGTACAGTTGTCTAGTGGATACTTAGTTGTTTGAATTCATGGAACTGGGAATATCCTACATTTGTCGGCAATGTTTATAACAATAGTAGGAATTCAAGTTTTTTTCATGCTCACTTTGGGGTTGAACATGGACCATCCGTTTCAATGGAACAATCACCAACAGAAATTTGGTGAATTTCATCATATTTAACCACTAAAATGGGGACTTAGCTGTCAAACATGGTCATTTTAATGGTGATTAACTCAAAAAAAATGGTGATTTAACTGGGGATACTGTGTGGATTTACATCGCTACCTCGGTATTATCGGATATTAATGCAATATTTACAAGGATATAGTGAGATATCAATGTGGAAAAACAGATTAGCTGCTTTACGTCGCGATGTCACTGGAATGATGGTGAACGGATTAGGGTAATCCCCATATTGCCGAACTTTTCAGATTCGCAATGTATATATTATATATAACAATCTATAACTTAGAATTAAAAAACAGGGGTGTGTGTGTGTGTATATGTGTATCTAAATATATATACATATATACTACCAGGTACTATCAGTGTCAGTATGTAATGTGCAGTTTCACCAAGGTTTTTTCTGATCCCTGAGGGTAGGTCGGTGCGCCTGAGGCTATGAATACAAGCCGGACAAGAGGCATATTGACTTGAAGGCTGGACTGGAAATGGAGAAAATGTATCAAAATGTTGGAAAGTGAGGAAATTTCGACTGATTACAGCTGTTGTATGGGTAAGTTGAGATCTTTCGTCTTGGATTTCGTCCATACGTTTGTTGTATGTTCTGTGATCCGGTGGGGTGACGGCACCCCAATTGATGGAGCTTTTATCGTTTTGTCGAAGGGCACCCCAAATTTTCAGTGGTTTGTATATGTGGGCCATCCCACATCATAAGATTGTTGGTTAGTTGTATTCATGTATATATATATATGTATATATTTATATGTATATATTAAACTTAAACTATATTAATAGTTACTAACATTTTGTTTGATATACAATATGTTAAGGAATATAGTATATATATATGTGTGACCAATGTGTATGTATGTATGTATGCATGCATGCATGCATGCATGCATGTATGTATGTATGTAATGTATGTATGTATGTATGTATGTTATGTTATGTTATGTTCTGTTATGTTATGTATGTTATGTATGTTATGTATGTAATGTATGTTATGTATGTTATGTATGTATGTATGTAATGTATGTTATGTATGTATGTATGTATGCATGCATGCATGCATGCCTGTATGTATGTATGTATGTATGTATGTATGTATGTATTATGTATGTATGTATGTATGTATGCATGTACGTATCATGTATGTATGTATGTATGTCTGGATGGATGGATGTATGTATGGATGCATGCATGGATGGATGTATGTATGTATGTATGTCTTGTTATGTTATGTTATGTTATGTTATGTTATGTTATGTATGTATGTATGTATGTATGTAATGTATTAATGTATGTAATGGATGTAATGTATGTAATGTATGTAATGTATGTAACGTATGTAATGTATGTCTGTAATGTACGTAATGTATGTCTGTAATGTATGTAATGTATGTATGTAATGTATGTATGTAATGTATGTAATGTATGTAATGTATGTAATGTATGTATGTAATGTATGTAATGTATGTATGTAATGCATGTAATGTATGTAATGTATGTAATGTATGTATGTAATGTATGTAATGTATGTATGTATGTATGGATGGATGGATGGATGTATGCATGGATGCATGCATGCATGCATGCATGGATGGATGTATGTATGTATGTATGTATGTCTTGTTATGTTGTGTTATGTTATGTTATGTTATGTTATGTTATGTTATGTATGTATGTATGTATGTATGTATGTATGTATGTAATGTATGTAATGTATGTAATGTTTGTAATGTATGTAATGTATGTAATGTATGTAATGTATGTCTGTAATGTATGTAATGTATATCTGTAATGTATGTAATGTATGTAATGTATGTAATGTATGTAATGTATGTATGTAATGTATGTAATGTATGTAATGTATGTATGTAATGTATGTAATGTATGTAATGTATGTATGTAATGCATGTAATGTATGTAATGTATGTAATGTATGTAATGTATGTAATGTATGTAATGTATGTAATGTATGTAATGTATGTATGTATGGATGGATGGATGGATGTATGTATGTATGTATGGATGCATGCATGGATGGATGGATGTATGTATGTTATGTTGTGTTGTGTTATGTTATGTTATGTTATGTATGTATGTATGTATGTATATCATAATATATATATAGCGAATCGGGAAGATGTTGATTTTTCCCATTCCTTTTTGAAAACAATAAGCGCCAGGCTGTGACTGCAGAGTTTTTGGGCACCCTGCTCTTGACCTTTGTTGGATGTGGCTCCTTGGACGACGCTGCGGAACTTGGACGAGTTGTTGAAAAGATGTGGGGATAACAATGCAATCCAATTAATGATGTGGTGATAATCCACCAAAGAACGAAATGACTACTGTTTCATATATGTGTTGTGTTATGTATATATGTATATATGTATATATGTATATATGTATATATGTATATATGTACATATGTATATATGTATATATGTATATGTATATATATATATATGTATACACGTGTGTATAGCTGTACTCTTGCTGAGCGAATCTGAACAATGTGCCCTCTTTGCCTTGATTTTTGATTTTATGGATGCCTCATGTGCAAGTACATACACAAATCAATCAATATACATACCCTCTGGTAAATTAACATAGACCCTGGCAGATAGGGGTTGGAAGAGTAGTTTCCATTAAAAAATGGTTATTTTCAGGGTCTATGTTTGTTTACCAGAGGGTATATGGTATACAATGTATACATGCATATATATATATATAATTTATATATTATATATATATTGAATAATAAATATATATATATACAATTAATATATATACATATTCAATATATACATACACACATACATACATACATACATACATACATACATACATACATACATACATACATACATACATACATACACACATACATACATATGCATACATATGCATACATGCAATTTTGTATGCACATTGATTATACAGACCTAATTAGCATCATGTTCGGCAAGTCAAGTCGCACCAGGTGCTGCCACAGTGCACGGCGCTGGCACTCCCATCACACGGCTGATCATCGCATTCTCCTTTGGCATGACCGTGATGGTGGGGTCTTGGGAGAAGTGGGGTTATGATTCGTGGTAAATCCAATGCCATAAAGCCTCCGAAACAAAGGTGGATTTGGCAGTTTATGGCATTGGGCATACTATGACTGGGAATATTTTCAATGACCTTTTCGATGATTGGTTGGGGTGGTCACCAGGAGGATTTTCCATGGCATGATCCTCCAGGGATGATGTTCCAATGTGCTGGTTATGCTTGGGCTTCCCATGTGCTGGTTATGCTGGGAATATTTACCATTTACCCCAAAATATGGCCCACATCTTGGTAAATGCTCCATATCGCATACGGGTTTCGTGGATTTGGCGGCTTCGAATCTTTGGTGCTAGTGCGGTAGACCCCACTTGAGGTTGCTAGGCCTACATGATGCATTATGGGTGACAATGACATATCAATAGGTCATTGAACTACCAAGAAATTCAACAAATCAAAACTCATTGTTGGTAAAAAAAAGGAAAGTGGCCCATCTTATCCTATCCTATCCTATCCTATCCTCCTTGTTTGTTTTACTCATGATGTTCCCGTTTTTGTTGTGTTTTACAGCAGTGATATCTGATAGCTCTAGGCAGTGGCTTATGCCATCGGACACCACTCGGGAGGGCACCTCAACTGTGCCGTGACCTTCTCGCTGCTCGGTGCGCGTGGGTGATAACAGCGCTGGGTTCATTGATTTGGGATTCCATATTTTGGTCAATTGTTTTTTTTGTTTTCCACCATTTTTTTTGGGATTTGTTAATTGGTGTGTATTTTTATTGTCTCATCATGATGTTTATTGGATTTGTTCATGTTTTTTCATTTTTCCATGATTTGGGATGGGATTCTTGATGGGATTTTTGTTGTCGGTTTATTGGATTTTCCAGTGGGATTTATTTGACACATGCTCGACACATCTGACCGTCGAGCAATGAACAATGGGATTGGATTTCATGGGATTTTGAAATGTGATTGACCGCCTCTTGAAAAGTTGCAGTTCGGAGTTCCATGTTGTTGCATTTCGGAGTTCCATGTTGACTTTCAATCGTTGGTGCAGCATTGACAGTGGATACAGTGGGCAATATCAACCGGTTGATGGTTTTCAATGTACGGTAGGTTGTCCACCCTACCAAATTTGAGATGATGATACCAACTGACTAACATTTCCGGGATGGGTTGAAAGTTGAAACCAACAGCCAGCTGTGATCATTTCATATTGTCAACATAAATATGAAGGAAAACCATTGATACATATTGATACTGCTTGATGTACCAGTGAAATCTTCTATTCAACATATATATATATAATCATATTATATATATAGTTATATATATATATATATAGGGTCACTCCGTCTTCATTGACTCCCACTTAGCTATCCCACAGTTTCGTTACCCTCTGGTAAAGTAGCATAAGCATAGCTATCGACAATCACCATGCTAACAGCAAAATCAGCAAGATGGGCTATTTTCAAACGCTATTTTAAGTTACCAGAGGGTAGTTGAAATTGAAACTGTGGCACAATGCCTCGCAGCCTGACATGTGGCGAGTTCACCGTTGTCTAGTCATGTTTTCGAGTCCAGCTCGATTCATTGATCGTCATCCAAATACATCATGCTCAATTGTAGCACTTGGAGTCCATAGCCATAAAAGACTACTCTCCGGTAATCAAACACGGAAAGTAAAAAAAAAAAACTATCAATGGAGTTTTTTTTATTAATCAGCTAATCAACTTTGAATGGAGGATTTTCATGGATTTTCTAGCCAACCATGGAACTGAGGTTGGTGCTGGGAGGTGCTGTGCCACTTGGCCAAGTGTTGCAGCTCGTTGCAGCCGACAGCTGCATAGGCCATGGCTTAACAATGTTGGTTTGTAGCTGCAGTACCAGTTACTGTAGAATTGGGCAAGATTACAGATGGATATACCTGGTTAGATGTGCATACATTGTTATTATGTACTGTATATATATATATATAATGTTTGCTACTGATTAGTGTGAGGGCCCCCCCCTCAAACAATTTGAATATACTGAATAACTCGCAATTTGTTGCGCCCCCCCTCAACAATTTTTAGGATAGTCAACTTAAGTAAGGATTTCAATTGAAATCAATTTACTTTCAATTGATTTTCAATTGAAATCCGTCTACTTTCAATTGATTTCAATTTACTTTCCATTGATTTCAATTTACTTTCAATGGGTTTTTAATTGATTTCAATTTACTTTCAATTGATTTTCCTTTCAAATCCAAAAAATCACCCCAAAAGTTTTTGTGCACAATAGAGTACCATCGAAACAATTACATTATTGAGGATCTTGGTCACTCATGGGGTACCCCCTTGAAAAATTGTTTGGATGCTGTTTTTTTTTACTAAGGGTTTAATAGGGCATCTAATTGTTTGGAAAACCTTGCATTTTAAGCCTTTGCTAACATTATATAAGATGTATGATTCATTTGATCATTTACAAGGAACTAATTATAAATTATATATACATGTTTTGATTTACATGTTTTGCGAGCACACTTGTTTCTATAGTTGCTACACAAGTCTATGACATTCATAATACTCATAGTGTTTGATTGTGGCACTGCTGAATATTTCAGAAAGCCTGAGTTGGATGGTTCCCACAAGCCAGAAACTGTCAGGAAGTAGCGCTCACAGAAAAACAGGAACTGGTCGTTCACATTCCTGGTATACCCTGATTGAGGATGATCCAAAAGGACGATGATTTTCCCAGCAATTAAAAGCTCCATTTATGTATTGGGCATCTTCCCATTGCTACGTGTGGTTACCAGAGGGTATACAGGGGTGCTCCAGCCCAATATACGTAAATGATAGCTATAATGGGGGGAACACGTGCCAATTTTAATCCATTTTACCACATTACTTTCGACGATTTACCACTCAAACGTACCTCGGGTGTTGGGAGCAACCTGGTATAGATTGAAATACTGTGGATGGAAGAAATCGTGCACCTGTTAAATGGAATAAAATGGTTTATCCCATCAAAAAAAACATGATTTACAGTGTTTCATGACTTTTCATAGGAATCCCAGGCAGTTGCCCTGAGACATCCTATGTTTATCATTGGGATGACCAATTTTGATCCCTGAGATCGAGGTCCTGGAATCAGGGACTGGCCAATCTGGTGGCACAATGCTTTGCAGCTGGGTCATGAAAAACAGGGGAGCGGCGGTCCTTGCCTGTTAACCCCTGGAGTTTGTCTTGGCAATGTTCCAACATGTTTATAAGATTTTGATAGGGGAAATAACGTTTGTAAATGATTTGATTTACAATTTATGTCCATTTTATGACCGAGCGGCAAACAATGCGGAGAAGGTGAAGAATGGGTTCCCTTTTGGACAACCCAACAGAACTTTGGGAGACGATCTGCTGTGAAAGCCACGGTGGGGTTTGTGACCTTGAACCACATCGTTCCCTTCACAATTTTGCAAGAACACAAACTAGCGTTGCCTCGTCATTACTAAGGCGGTATTGCTTGCCTAGGCCCTAGGCCTAGTCAGCAGTACTCTCCAGCAATCAAACGTAGCAACCAGAAAGCCCCTTTCCTCATGTAAAATCCAAGAAAGGGAATTGCCAAATTCTGGTCAGTTGATATGTATCCCCAGGGCTTGTAACAAGCTTTCTTGATCCATCTCCACATGGTGTCCATCTGACTATGACCTGAAAAAATCCCACATGGATCCACATGCTAGATTTACTAATTTGGGTCATGTTCCCTTTATATTATATTTGGCTGGTGGTTTCAAATGTTTCAAACATGGCTTTTATTTTCCAGAATATATGGGATAATCCTTCCCATTGACTAATATTTTTCAAGATAGTTAAAACCACCAACCAGTAATCTACTAGTCTAGAAGCACCATGTTTTTTTGAACTAGAGATGTACCTCGACATTCCAAGTACCAAGAACAAAATGTGTAGTATACCCGGACAAGTGCCATTTTTTTCGGGTAACCGAGGGTTTAAGTATGGTTTTTTAAGGGAAGGGCTGATCCGCGGGATCCGTCGGCGACAAAATCTCGCCCTAGGCCTCGATTGTAGCCTGCATTCTCCTGACCATCATTCATCCTTGCGAGGCCAGCGATGTTCATCATAGGTTCGAAGGTGGTGCTCCCCTTGTTTCAAAGCCTTTGTTTGTTTAAGACGCCCTCAGTTTTTCATAGATCAATATTAATATGTGTATGATATACATATATAATTTATATATATATATTATATTTAATTAATACAATAATTTTCCATAAACATCAGTTGCAAACCAACTTGTGCCATTGCTTACAACCCCAGGATCTAGGGATCGATACGCAAGTTTTCATCGGGTAGAAACTTCCGAAAAAAAACATCGCTGAGTTTAGGATGACCATCAACAAACCGAATGTTGAACACATCAGAAATATCTTTCACATTTAGGATAGATTTGTACCATCCAACGTTGCTTCTGTTGCTGTTGCTTTTGTTGCTCTGGTTGTGATTGTGGTTGTGGTTTGTGGTTGTGGTTGTGGTTGTGGTTGTGGTGGTGGTGGTTGTTGTTGTTGTTGCTGTTGTTGTTGCTGTTGCTGTTGCTGTTGCTGTTGCTGTTGCTGTTGCTGTTGCTGTTGTTGTCGTTGTTGTTGTTGTTGTTGGTGTTGGTGTTGGTGTTGGTGTTGGTGTTGTTGTTGTCGTTGCTGCTGTGGTTCTCAATGTCTTCCCTCTTCTCTTCTTTTATTTTTTATGTTTTGCCTTTTTTTTCTTGCTGTTGTTCCCGAGAGCGTCTGAGCGCAGGGTTCTTCCAATAGTGGGGGTCTGTCAAACATCTTCTCATCTTCACATCTCATCTTCACATCCTCTCATCTTCACATCTCATCTTCACATCCTCTCATCTTCACATCTTTTCATCTTTACATCCTCTCATCTTCACATCCTCTCATCTTCACATCTTTTCATCTTTACATCCTCTCATCTTCACATCCTCTCATCTTCACATCCTCTCATCTTCACATCCTCTCATCTTCACATCTGCTCATCTTCACATCTGCTCATCTTCACACCTTCCCATCTTCACATCTTCTCATCTTCACATCTGCTCATCTTCACATCTGCTCATCTTCACACCTTCCCATCTTCACATCTGCTCATCCTCACACCTTCCCATCTTCACATCTTCTCATCTTCACATCTGCTCATCTTCACATCTGCTCATCTTCACATCTGCTCATCTTCACATCTGCTCATCTTCACACCTTCCCATCTTCACATCTTCTCATCTTCAAATCTGCTCATCTTCACACCTTCCCATCTTCACATCTGCTCATCTTCACATCTGCTCATCTTCACATATGCTCATCTTCACATCTGCTCATCTTCACATCTGCTCACATTCACATCTTCACATCTCTCATCTTCACATCTGCTCATCTTCACATCTGCTCATCTTCACATCTGCTCATCTTCACATCTTCTTATCTTCACACCTGCTCACCTTCTCTCTCATGCCTTCTTTTTATCTTTCTCTCTTAAGGCCGAGGGTGGTGCCGGCGGCGAGTCACGAAACGTCAACCCTTTCGCACGAAATGAGGGTCGATCGGCAAAAACTGAGGAAAAATTCCGATTTGACTTGTCCCGGAGCAACCCTTTCGCACGAAATGAGGGTCGATCGGCAAAAACTGAGGTAAAATTGCGATTTGACTTGCCCCGGAGCAACCCTTTCGCACGAAATAAGGGTCGATCGGCAAAAACTGAGGTAAAATTGCGATTTGACTTGCCCCGGAGCAACCCTTTCGCACGAAATGAGGGTCGATCGGCAAAAACTGAGGTAAAAGTGCGATTTTACTTGTGCCGGAGCAACTCTTTCGCACGAAATGAGGGTCGATCGGCAAAAACTGAGGTAAAACTGCGATTTTACTTGTCCTGGAGCAACCCTTTCGCACGAAACGAGGGTCGATCGGCAAAAACTGAGGTAAAATTGCGATTTTACTTGTCCTGGAGCAACCCTTTCGCGCGAAATGAGGGTCGATCGGCAAAAACTGAGGTAAAAGTGCGATTTTACTTGTGCCCTTCTTGTCTGTGTGTAAAAGCGCCTGTGTGTAAAAAGCGTCTGTGTGTAAAAGTCTCTGTGTGTAAAAGCGTCTGTGTGTAAAAGCGTCTGTGTGTCAAAGTGTCTGTGTGTAAAAGCGTCTGTGTGTAAAAGTGTTTGTGTGTAAAAGTGTTTGTGTTCAAGTGTTTCTGTGTAAAAGCCTCTGTGTGTAAATGTGTTTGTGTGTGTGAAAGCGTTTGCGTGTAAAAAGCGTCTGTGTGTAGAGGTTGTCTGTGTGTAAAAGCGTCTGTGTGTCAAAGCGTTTGTGTGTAAAAGCGTCTGTGTGTAAAAGTGTTTGTATGTAAAAGCTTCTGTGTGTAAAAGTGTTTGTGTAAAAGTGTTTGTGTAAAGCGTCTGTGCGTAAAAGTGTTTGTATGTAAAAGCTTCTGTGTGTAAAAGTGTTTGTGTTACAGTGTTTGTGTAAAAGCCTCTGTGTGTAAAAGCTTTGTGTTTAAAAGCGTCTGTGTGTAAAAAGCGTCTGTTTGTAAAAGTGTTTGCGATGCAAACTACTGTCTTGCACTTCTCACTGTCCTGTCTTGATACTCCTCTTCTCGACTGCCTATAACAGAGCTTTCATATATCGTTTCTAATATTGCGTCTCCATACTAACAAGAGAAGACCCTGCTCCTCTACGCTCTCGGGCCATCCGTCGTCTAGTTGTTTTTGCTGTGGTTATTCTTAGCATTGTCATTATTCTTATTGTTACTGATTGTTCTTGTTTGTGTGCGTTCTTCTTGTTATCGGTCGCGTTCTCGTTGGTATGTTTATTGTTCACTTACAACCATGGGTGATCAATTGATAGATGCGGTTTTGCATCCTGTTGATGTATATTTAACACTTTTGTTTTGACACACACACACATTTTAAGACCCTGGGACGCACTGATGAATTGGTATTCTTTTAGGATCTGAAACTCTGAAACCGTCTCATTTTCAGATACCTAGGACCTAAGGATTTACCCATCGCAATCTGAAACCCATCGTACAATTGGGGATGGGGCACCTTCCCGTGCACAGATGGATCTGACTACCACTTTGGCGACCAACATCCCAGCACCAGGCTCTGCGTCATGTTGGGCCCAGTCCAGTCTATTAAGGTTCACCAACCCCACTTGACCCCAAAATGAAATGATCATAAATGATCCAATTCACCATTTCCCCAGGTTGTTTGACCGATCAGATGAGCAACTGACTTCTGGTGATCCGTTGTTGGATGTTTGGTCATTAAAACTGATGGAGTATCAGTTATCGGTCATCACTGTTTTAGACAAGACACTGGCAAGACTATCATCGGTTATCTTGAAATGTAAGGGCCTCCAGTTTGAAATGTTTCCAAAAACAGCCATGTCTTTTCCTCCATCGTTCACAGGTTTGTCATGCATATCACTGCTTTCCCCGAAGCAGGATTGTTTGCTCCGCAGACCCTTTTTCTTGCTTCGGGTATACAAACGTAGGACCCGCCTAAGGTGGAGTATGGCTCAAAGTTGGTACCTCCAAAACAACATCTGACTACAGTACACATAACCTATTGAATCCCAGCTCCGCAAGTGTTTAAACCTCCTAGACCCCATCTGTATATGTTTTGTTCTGGTTCGATTCTGGAATTCCTATTCCACCGCTCAAGTTAAACGTGTTTGAATTTCTGTTTTTTGAAATTATTAATTTATGCATGGCAAGTGAGCTAGGAGCCGATTTCCAGGATTTGTCAGGTATGCTGACCAAGTGAGCCAAATTCTAGCAAATTCCCATGAACATTGAAAAAATTGATCGACCCCAAATTACCAAACTAGAGTTTTTTCAAATTTGCGGTCGTTTGCCGAGTCGTTTGCGGAAATTTGCACTTGTTTCGCGGGTTGCAATTTGCACGGCTTCGACCAAACACAAAAAAATGACCGTTTTTGGCCCAAACCACTTTGGTTGAGTCAAGATTAGCCCAAATAGCTTTGCAGCGTCCATGCACCATGCAAAAATGAACAAACATGTGATTTCTGATGATTTGTGCGTTTAGCATGTTCCAGGAATGTGTGATCGTTTTTTGAAACGTGGTACGAATTGTAAATTAAATGCGCCAAAAAAATGCTACGAACAAGGCTACAAACCTGCTTTTCGATCATATCGTACCCAACTGTGTCGCATGCGTTTCCTTTCGGACCTCGCTTTTGTCAGGGATTGGCTTATGATGGTTCAATCATGTTCAATCAATGGCAAACTTTGGGTATCCATTAGGGCACCCATTTCCACCAAGTAGCGTTGGATTTTTGACCTCCGGAGGTTTCACAGACTGGCAAGTGATTCTGGCAGACCCTTGGCTCACAGATCCGAAATGGCCTAAGATGGGAGTGGCTCAAAATTATGTGCCAGGCATATCCAACATGGGTATTTCAATACATTTCCATAGCAAAGAATTTAATGGTTGTGAGGAATTGGTCCCCAACAAAGAGAATGAAGTGTAAGTGTGTGTGTGTGTGTTGAATTTTGGTTGCTTCACACATGGGCCTTTACTTATCCAAATTCAAATCAGGTTCCCATTCATGTGAGCAGATGCATTTGAGTCGACAAAAAAAGGGCGTGGGCAGACTTGGGCACCCTTGGGTGAACAGTTTTGAACTGTACATCACATATCCCACAGATTCCTACAGAATAAATATGTCGGATTGTTGCAAGTCCATTAATTGGTTTCCCATCATGTTTTATTTCGATTCACTTGCTGGTGTCAATTGTAGCACCTGCTGGGCTTTCAGCTTCGAATGTGGGATCCTCAACAACTAAAAAAATCCAGGCATTCAATGTTGTTCATGTCAACAGTATTCAGCTCTTCATTGTTTCTGCCATTCCGATGTGTGCTGATCAAACAACATCAAAACATCTTTGGCAGTTGATCAATCATCATCCTGAAAGGCCCATAGACCCATCACATTATTGAAATGTGTCAATCTACGTTTTTTGTTGCAATGAAGTTGAATTAAGTACTGTACCCGTCTTTTAATCCAGGGTTTCCACATTATATATATAGATATATATAGATAGATAATGATAGATATTATATTTATAGAGGTATCATTCAGAGCATCACCACCAGGGATCAACATCCCCAAGGAAGCGATTGGGACCTTCCTCCTTTGCTTCACGGTGTGGGAGACGGCCGTGACCAAAGTGGCCAGTAGCGGAAAGAACTCGTGCCTGGTGCCCCTCGGCGTAATAAAAAACGTGGCAATCGGAAATCCTTCCAATCCTTACAATCCATAATTGGTGATCTGGTTGGTGGTTTGGAGCATTTTTAATTTTCCATAGTATATGGGATGTCATCCTTCCCGTTGATTTATATGTTTCAAGATGGTTATTGCACCACCAACCAGTGATGTTCCATTGCCTTTGATTACCGTAAACAGAAATAAAACAAACTCTCTGCAGATCTGTGTCTACTTTGTGCTTCACGGTCATTGGGTGACCAAGCAGGACCCTGGAACCAAAATTGCCAAGCTCTAGATTCTAGATGGTTGAGGCAAAAAGACCGCGATTCGCGCAGTCTGTGTGAACCTAATCTGGCAATATGATAGAACATCTTGGAACATCTCATGTGCGTTTTGTATCGTTGTGTCTGAAAATATAACCCAAAACCATGGGTTTTAATACTAAGTCATGGATAGTGATGGTCTAATTTTCGGATGATTTGGGGGTACCCGCATTTTCGGAAACCTTCGTTTAACATGGGCTGAAAATGGGGGGGGTGTAACACAGCAGTTTCTGAAGATGGCCGACAGCAAAAAAAACATGGTTGGAAAATAAGTTACCTTGTAATGGACCGACTAATTTACAAGGAACATAATACACATATATATGTATATATAAACAATTATAAACATATTGTTTCTCCATATAAGAATTATACTAACTATACCAAACTGTAGAGCAGCACTGATGTTGGTCCAACGAAAGCTTTCTGGCGATCTTTTTGGCCAGAGGATTGGGATGTCGGTCTTTTTGGCCATCCAAGTCTTGATTCACGTGCGGGATCCAAAATTTCCGGGAGGTTTTTGTCGATGTTTTTGATGGATGGTATGGGATAGATATGGATGATGATTCTGATATAAATCTCTGAATGGTGAGTTGGAGACTTGGAGTCGATGCTTCAGGATGATGCGTCCTTTCCAACATACTTTTCCTCATTGTCAAGCATTGTGGTTGTGGTTTCGATTTTAGGTTTGAGACATAGAGAAAGACTACTATTCCGGTTGACGGTTTGTCGGTTTGTTTGTTTGTTTGTTTGTTTGTTTGTTCGTTCGTTCGTTTGTTTGTTTGTTTGTTTGTTCCCATGTTTGGGATGATCTCTAGTTCTGATGTTAAGTGGTTGGTCAAAACAACACAGGGAATGCGTCCATGATTTGTGTGGAAACTGGGCACTCTCAATTCCAATCGATTATACACATATAGATACATATATGTATCATATATAGTTATATGAGTTTCAAATTTTCAAGTTTAAGTGACATTTTTGGGCGCACTGCATCTGTGGACAACACCATATTTCAGGGTATCTCCCACGTTGTTTCCGCCCACAGTGATGGTTTGATGGGCGCCTTTCCGTGACGGAGGTGGTATCCCCAAAGACAATAAGTGCCATTTACCAGAAATAACTACGGCCGATGCCGCCACAACTGGGCCTGTGGGTCCCTTTAGCATTGTGGGATGATTCGGGAAATCATCGGAGGCGACACATTCCCAGAATCGATGGCTTGGCTGATTCAAAATAGACATGTAGTCTAGTCTGTGAAATTGCGGCTCCATTCCCGAAAAAACGCTTCGTGGACGCTTGATGTTGGTGAAGTTTGTCGGAATCTGTTGGACATCCATCGGATTTGGTTTTGGAAGATCCACATGCAAGTTGATCATGGCCCCTATGTCGTTCAAAATCGAGACAAATCGTGAATCATTGTTTGCCACTTAAAAGTATGGCGTTTGTTGGAAACTGGAAATAGCATGAAAACGCGTGATGAAGCGTGATTTCTTCAGGCCTGACCGCTCATCTGCCGCCCCTGTCACTTTTCGCCAGTGCTCACCACATTTTACGGTAAAATGGTTACCGCAATTGTGAACAAGTTTGACTCTAGACTTCAAATAATACGGACATCCAGAGATAATGTTTACCGCACATGATGTCAGCAAATAGACCCAACATTTGATTCTTCACAGGGATTGCAAAGAACGATTCCGTTTCAGGTAGGTTGAAGCCACCATTGGCCACAGGGGCTGGCCGTTTAGCCAACAGAATCTGCTTAAACCCTCACATCACCCCAAGTGTTTTGTTGTTCTACAATTTTTATGTTTATATAATTGCATATATAATAAATGTTGTTTTAATTTATTCAACTTTGTTAATTGGCTATGTTTCTGCACTACTGCACTGCTTTTCAAGTTTATGCTGCAAATTCCGTCTGAGGTTGAGGCTACATGCTGATTTTTTGGTTCAACTTAAATGTCGATTGGTGAACTGTCCAGCCACTGCCACAGGTGGATGGTTGCTCTATCAACCCCAACCGATCTTTGGGCCCTGCTCTGGTTTCGAAACTGCGAGGCTGGATGGTATGCGATGGCTGCGGGATAGGGTCAAGGTTCCGTCCTCTCAAATGACCGATCATAAATAAATGACCATCATTGACCATAAATGACCTGTTTATGGTTCATGATTTTTTGGGATGATTCTGGTCAACTCAAATATCTGGAAAATATAAAGTATAACGACCGCACATCACGACGTCACGAAGTAAATGATGCAAACCCACGACAGCCAAGACCCAGATTGGTGAAGTATGCGGCCAACGACATAAGAGTTTGATGGAATTTCCTGCAGGTACTTCATGATTTGGCAGGGTATGTATAGACAAACAAGACCATGAGACTGGCACTCAGAGACCCAGAAGCGAGCATCTTCACTGACAATAAATCTTCAGCTTCGCCACAAAAAGATGTACTTGGATTTCTTAATTGATTTAATTGGTCAGTGGGTAGGGTTATAACTTGATTCTAAATGGGAGAATATGGGAGAATATGGGAGAGCCGTTATGGACTAGTGACTAGTCGTAGGATGATCCTCGAAGTAGTTCCCGACAAGAGATCATATATCCTAGTGATGTATTGGGATGTTCCTGTTGGTAAAGCATGGAAAACCATTAAATTTGATGGCGTTTTTTGTTGCCGGCTTTTTTTTAAGCGGCTTAGTCGACTGGGGATTCTCATGGTTCTCCAGTCTCGGATACCAACAATTTTTTGGTGTTTTTTTTCCAGTTGGGAAAACCCCGGTGCTTCAGGCTGCAGCAACTACACCGAAGGAGGGATCAGTGCACTTTGGATGATGCCCCTCGGCCGGTCCTGTTTGTGACGTGTCCAGTTCAATTAGAGTAGGCGTTGTGCAGAAATAGGGGAAATTCAACCCCGGATTCATCAAGTTTACGAATTCTGGGGCACCCACAAAATATATCAGCCTATAGGGTGTACTAATATATGTAATAATTCCTGTCATTGTAATTATTGCAAAGTGATGATTTCAATTGTGACAATTTAATCTGAGATGGCAAGCTGCGAGATCCAAATGCCCATCGAAAGGTTCCGTACTACATGAGTTCTGGCAGAGGTCAAACCAATTTTGGAAAAGGATGGTAACTTTGGGCAAAATCCCACCAAACTGCTACATATCAAATGTGAAGTAATTTCGTTTCAACTTGCATGTGAGGGATTGTGAGGGTATATAGATATACAATGATATGCACACTCCCACATTTTTCCAATGTTTAACTCTCTTTGTGATGTTGGCACGGTTGGCTACTTAGACCTTCCCCCTGTCCACATAAAAATAGGTCAACATTCCAAGTCATTTTATGGGTATCTTACCATCTGATTGGTGGTTTGGAACATTTATTTTATTTTTCCATATCTTGGGAATTTCATCATCGCAACTGACTTTCATACCACGAGTTCATGAGATCGATGAGCCCAGTTGACCCCTGGCATGGCTGAGCCTTCAAAAAGTTCCAATATCTACAGGTCCTGATGTCTGGTTTTTATGATGGTTCAATGATTATCGATTGGAATTGCCCTGGTAAGCATAGTCATCGTAATGATCACTACAGTATTATTTATTATTATGTTAAGGGTTCAATGACGTTCAATGGCTACATTTATTTGTTTGGTATCCGGTATCCGTTCAATGCCCCATTCCCTACTTTTTGGACTGGCAATGGCTATCTCCAAAGGATTAAGACGAAAGTGTTATGGCCTAGAATGAAAGGAATTACAGTAAAGGATGTGATTAGGATCTCCAGAAGTGTTTTGTTTTTTTTGCCTAAACACCAAAAATGATAAAACTGTCATTTGCCTGTGGGCCGCAAGGTGGTGCTGTGATTTTTGTAAGCTACTAGTATATAAACCCCATCACTTATAGATACATCTACCAAAAGCATCCAAAAAGTCCAAAAACCACAAACAAGAGTTATAGTGTTAGTATGTGTTAGTTATAAATCAACTTGGCTAACGAACTGCTGAACCACTATTATCCTGTGTAATCCCAATATGAACCAATATATCCCATGAGTATCTACTACAGTCCATTATATGTTTGATCCATAAAGTCCCAGTATGTCCCCATATACATATATAAATATAATATATATATATATTTACATATCCCATCATAATTCGGTATAATCTCAATTAATCCCATTATAATCCCAGAACAAGCCAATATATCCCAGAATAATCCTTTATTATCCCAATAAATCTCCATTAAAATCCCTGCACATCCCAATATCTCCCATCATAATCCGTATGATCCCAACAATTCCCATTATAATCCCAGTATATCATATCCTATTATATCTCTGTCTCGGTAAAAAAAAAGAAAAAACTAACTTTTGAAGCCTGCAGGTGGGTGGGACCACTCTTTGGAGCACTTCTTGCTGCCCTCTCCCGCTTAGTCTTTGCCCCAAAGGCGACGAAAACAGGTACTGTATGTGTTTGAAATATGACCTCTATATTTTGACGATCATGATTCTCTCCGTGTATATTCAAATATTAATATATAATATATATTTACATATAACAATATTCACAGTATATTCCAAATATATGAGTGTATCGGTCTTCAGGACCTTGGGCACGGAAGTGGGTGCCCACTTCCGTGTGCCCACTTCCGTTTGGATTTGGCATGTTTTTGTTTGTAGCCCAAACAAAGGGATTTACCGTACCTTGAACCAATGACAATGGTTACTTGATGGCTTCAATTTGTATTTTATTGAATCTTGCTGTGCATGTTCAACTTTATGGGTTTCTTTGAAAATAGGGGATACCCAAAAATGTTGATGTCATCTCATTTCATCTCATTTCAATAGGGAACATGATGAAAAAACATGCTGAATAGGGAGGTAGCTCAGTTAGGCATCCCTCGATTGGCTGAGTCCACCTTGTATGGCCCCAGCTGTTTTATATTTGAGAGGTACTGTTGCTTTATCTCACTCACTTTGATGACTGGTTGGTGTTTTGAAATTTTTATTATTCCATATATTGGGAATAATAATCCCAACTGACTAATATTTTTCAGAGGGGTTGAAACCACCAACCAGATGAAGTTCTTGGGTATACTACTGCTACTGTTTTGTTACTTTCCAATTCACGACACCGTCATTGTTGCGGGCTCCTGCTGTAAGCTGTGCTGAAAACATCGAAAAGCCTCTGGCATGACATCATGGCAGGCAGTCTTGTTGAAGCAACAGTTGCTCGGCAAACAGAATTTACCAGGGAACCGTGAACCTTTGATATCCAGAAAAATAGCATCTAACCGATCGGCAGACTTGGGGATGTCACTTTATCCATTGGCCATGGGCAAAACCCCAAAAAGGGGCGGACCAAGCGATTGGTGGAAAAAGCCTCATTGGATCCAACAGTTTTTATCCTTCAATTTACCAGTCTGGTTGGTGGTTTGATGTCATCATAATAGTATATTAGTGGGATATATCACCATAATAGTATATTAATAGTAAATAATAGAGATATACTGGTTGGTGGTTTGAAACATGAATTTTATTTTCCATTTCATATATGGGATGTCATCCTTCCTATTGACTTTCATATTTTTCAGAGGGGTAGGTATACCACCAACCAGCTTCAATTTACCAGTGCATCTGAGTTCTTGCTAGCACGTTTTGATGTAGCCTTCGGTGATTTCATGATTTCATGTCGACTGATCGATCGTTAAATGGTTCGAAAGCCTGGTGCCTCTTAGTTCACATCCCAAACATTTTCACAGGTGAATGGACATGAATGGACTATCCAGTTGTGAACTATCCAAACTATCCATGATCCAACTGGATGGTAGATGGCTTGATGCTGGTAACCTGGTAGACTACCTGGTGACCCCACAAAAGAAGCAATGACTCACCAGGCTTCGAGGCTGTGACCTCCATGGTTGGTGGATCAATGCCCCATTGCCTGGTATTCGAAGCTGTCCCAAGAATTCTTATACCATCCATCTGTCAGTGCCAGCGTTCACACTGAGGATGTCTGTGGATTGGGGTGCTGCTCATCGCTCAGATACCGGCTTTGGATTTGACAGCCGCACTTCTTTGGATCTGAAGGCCATCATTTTCATGTAGGGACTTTATAGGCTTTACAGTGGCTTGACTCTCAGCTTGTGCGTACGCGGGGTGTGGACACAGTTTCGGGCAATATTCAGATTTTAGATATACATTTTACATTTATACATTTATACATTTATACATTTGTACATATATACATTTATACATTTGTACATATATACATACATACATACATACATACATACATACAGACATACAGACATACAGACATACAGACATACAGACATACAGACATACAGACATACAGACATACAGACATACAGACATACAGACATACAGACATACAGACATACAGACATACAGACATACATACCTACCCTACATACCCTACAACCATACACATCATACATCAATACATAATACAATACATACAACATATACATACAATACATACAATACATACAATACATACAATACATACAATACATACAATACATACAATACATGCATGCATGCATGCATGCATACATACATACTACATATACCAATTATACAATTATACATACATACAATTACATACATACAGACATACATACATACATACATACATGTATACATGTATACATGTATACATGTATACATACATACATACATACATACATACATACCTACCTACATACCTACATACCTACATACCTACATACCTACATACCTACATACCTACATACCTACAGACCTACATACCTACATACCTACATACCTACATACCTACCTACCTACCTCCCTGCCTGCCTACCTACCTACCTACCTACGTACCTACCTACCTACCTACCTATATTTATACATATATATTTGTATATATATAATTAGATACTATTTTATTGTATTATATTATATTATATTTTATTATGTTGTATTATGTCGTATCGTAATATATTATTTGTTTTGTTTTTTGTTTTAATATATATATATGGTAATTCTATTCTATTGTATTTGTTCTAATAGATATTTGTATATATATATATATACATATATATTTTTAAATATATTTATATTATATTTATATTATAGTTATAGCGTATTTATTTTTATTTATGTTGTATCTATTTTACATCTGTTATATTTATATTACATTGTTTATACTATATTTTATTACTTTACATGTTATTATACTATATTATATTTATGTTTGTAATATTATTATATATCATTATTTACTATTTTATACTATATTACAATATTATATTGTACTATATTATATTACATTATATTATGTAATATATAGTTTTTATTATTTTATAACATATTATATTTTTATGTTTTTTTAATGTTCTATTATATCATATAATATTATTATTTCATTATAGTGTATATTTACAGGATTTTATAGGTGATTTGAAATAATCATCTCATGCGACTGGCAGTTCATTCAAGTCCGTTTTCCGAGGGTAACCCGCCCAGTTTTTCGGCGGTTCAATGATGTGACTTTGAGGTCCCCTTTCGGATGTCCATTCCTGAACCATGTTTGGGACCTTTTAAGACCTTCAAAGCAGATCATGAAGAGGACAAGCCCAGTTGCTAGACTTAGTGGCCAGGGTTTTACGCCAGGGTTCGACGCTAGTGACCGGATGTGATGCTCATCCAAGGTTTAGCATGACGCAAAGAGGCTGCAAAGTCCATATTGATTTGAAATATTGAAATATGGTGGCGAAGTGAAATTGACGCGGCGTACGCTTTAGAATGCTTATGGAAGAACTTGGTCGAATAATCTACTTAGACCCTCCAAATACTTCTGCCCATGTTCGAATGGGTAAAAGTCCCATTTCATCATGGGTACATTGCCATTATTCCACCATTTTCCATAGCTTTTGAAGAGTCGCAGGCGGGTCTGGCAGAGCTCGTTGGCACCGGGCTGCTGACGTTTTTGGGCTGTGGCCGGGGGCTCAGGGCGTGGGGCTCACTGTTCTGAGGAAATCATCCCAGCATGGGCTGCTGACGCAGATGTGTTTGGTGAAGCCTAGTATTGCAACCTGAACTTCTATACTGTTTCTTTTGGTTGCCTCATCATTTGGAACATTATGGACAGCCAGAATTTTCCATATTGAAGATTGCTGTGGGGTTGAATCATATTAAATCCATTTGAGGCAAACCCATTGATTTCTCTCGGAAAGGGACTTGAGATGCATCTGGCGACCTGCAAACAAAACGTCCCAGTATGAAAAGGAACAACATCAACGCATTCGTTTCAAACCTCAAGCGTGTGTTTGATTTGCAGTGTTCATCGATTTTTGGTTAGAAATGGGATATGATTCATGATATATTGATATATTTTTTGGTTTAATGGATTCATTTAACCAGGTTGTTCCACCATGACGGTTGTGTCTAACCCTGGCCGTGACCTGTGAGGTGTGGCTTCATTGAACGGCGCGGACACGGCTGAAAAGAAGCTGACCATCGCCATGGAGTTTGGCTTGGGGGTGGCGGCTGCCCGGATGCAGCGGATGTGTGCAGCAGTGACCTTTAGTCAGGGGTAGCCCCGGTAGCATCATCGTCATGGATTCCATGACTTAGTCTTGAAACTTGAAACAACCATCCTACATCATCCTACCCCCTTGCATCATCCAGTCGTCATGGATGACCATGACTTAAGTAAAGGTTAACAACAATGGTGACGACTGGGTTCCCCAATGACTCAACAAACCCCCAAAATCCCCCAAACAGGTGCACTGCGCATTATCGTCAGCGATACTTTTGGATGAAGATGCAAGACGCCAACAGGTTTCGAGTCAATTGGTGCTGCAAATTACATTCCACCATCAAGTAGTCAACATGCAGGATATTGTAGGGTTGACGGTGGTTGGTGCTTCAAAACATAGTGCTTTAGGGACGTGAAGTACGGTATCTCCGCTAGAAACGCTTGAACACCTGGAAAGATTTCGCCGGATGGTCGATCCATATATGATATGACCCATACCCCAAAATGGCACCCTGCAATGTGGGACCAAGATATCGATCCCAAAAAAGATTTTTATATAACCAATAGTCATCAAAATTACCTCCATATATCATCTATAGATTCATATAGTAATATATGACCATATATAAAATCGAAACATATACAGTATACATATGTATGTATTTAAACAAGCCATAGATTCAGTAAACCTTGCCGTGATATGTTATCACCAACATTATCCAGGTTTTGGCTTATGGCACTGGCCATCATTCTGGTGGTCAGTTGAACCCTGCGGTGACCTTGTCGTGCCTTGGTCGCTAAGCATTAAACGATTTCTTTACGAATGCGCAACAACTATCATTATGATCTACTCAGACCCTCCGAGTACATATTACTTTTACGGGAAAAGTCACACAGTGGATATATTACCCAAGTTTTCCATGTACTTGGAGGTTCAAACGGTAGTTATAACATGTTACAGATCTAAAGTCAGCTTGCGTCGCTTGGATTCTTGAAAGCACAGTGGTAATGTTTATGGCTAATGTTGAGGCAGCTAATCCGGGCAACTCAATACCATAAACCGACCAAACTTGCAAGGTGGTGCCCCATAGTTAGCTAAGTTGGTGAACAATGACTCCAATAACTTGGGTTTATTGTAGATATACCATGAATTTCCATGATATACCTATACTTCATGGGGGTTATAAACCAACAAACATCACTGGGGGGGCGCCACCTTGAAGGGATGCCATAAAAACCCAGGCTCGTGGTGGGCAAGGCAGTGACTATGGAACAAGGCGTCGTCAACTTGGCCTGTCAAGTCTTGGGTTGCGTGCCTTGGTCTCAAGACTTGATCATGTTTTATCCACTTTGAATATGGCAAAAAAACACATGATTGGATACCAGTAGTACCCGCACGAGGCGGGGCGGAAGTTGCGTTAGGGATATACTATAAGACCTTTTTCCTCTATAGAATTTGCATGCGCCGTGCGCCAGCCAGGCCCGTGCGTGCGTGCTTTGTGCGAAGCTGTTGCACAGATGTTGTCCAAGAACATGACCTGCACACGACCCCGGCGCAATGCAACGCCAAGCAAACACTTTCCTCACACTTCACGCTGCACTCTTCACACTTCACACTTGCACTTCGCACTCCACACTTCATGTCATCTCATCTCATCTCATCTCATCTGAGCTCTTCTCACCTCATCTCACCTCATCTCAGCTCTCCTCACCTCATCTCACCTCATCTCAGCTCTTCTCATCTCATCCCATCTCTTCTCACATGTCATCTAAGTAAGTTCTTCTCAGCTGTTTTCCCCTCGTCCGAGCACTGATCAACGTATCTGCACGACAGACAGCTCTTGCTGTCAGAGAGAAGTCTCTTGCACAAAAAATCGTTGGGCGCAGAAAGCTTTTGTGTACAGAAGCTTGAGACACAGATGCATTTACCAAGAAAAGCCTTTTCGAAATACTTTGTACTACAAAGCTTGCACAAAGCACTTCCCAGTACTACTTTGTACTAGAAAGCTTGCACAAAGTACTCCCCAGTACTTCTTTGTACTACAAAGCTTGCACAGAATACTTCTTCCCAGTACAAAGCTTGCACAAAGTACTCCCCAGTACCACTTTCTAGCCAAAGCTTGCACAGCGCACTTCCCAGTACTACTTTGTACTACAAAGCTTGCAAAAAGGACTTCCCAGTACTACTTTGTACTACAAAGCTTGCACAACACACTTCCCAGTAGCACTTGGTACTACAGAGCTCGCACAAAGCACTTCCCAGTACTATTTTGTACTACAAAGCTTGCACAAAGCACTTCCCATCACTACTTTGTACTACAAAGCTTGCACAAAGCACTTGCATGTACTACTTTGTACTACAAAGCTTGCACAAAGAACGTCCCAGTACTACTTTGTACTACAAAGCTTGCACACAACACTTCCCAAAACACATCAAGGTGTGACGCACAGCAAGCTTTTCCACACAGCAACCTTTTACACACAGCAAGCTTTTTCTACACAAAGAACGCGTTAACACACAGCAAGCTTTTAGGCAGAAGAGCTTTTACACACAGAAAGCTTTTACACACAGAATGCTTTTCGCACAGCAAGCTTTTGCACAAAGACGTTTTTGCATAGAGAAAACTTTCTGGTTCATAGTGAGAGCAGAGATTGCAGCTCCAAAACCGGATCCCGGTGCCAAAGCGAAAAAAAATATTTTGAAGCACTTTTGAAAGGGAATTTTACAAGGAAAATCTCTAGCGCCAAAATGGGGAAAATCTGCTCACAAACAATTATCGCAGCCTTGATGCAGCCACTCCAATACGATTTACGATGACCAGCTGCAAAAGACAATAGTATTACGCATGCAGCCGCGGCACCAAGCAACTTTGACGCAGCCATTACACTGCGACATCGAGATATTGAATTGCAAAACACAATAGAACTACGCGCAACGGCGTGAGAAATTGCAACTTTTTTAAAAGGAGTTTTAAAAGGAAAATCACCAGCGCCAAAGCTGAGAAAATCTAGTGACAAATCATTCTCGCAACCTTGATGCAGCCACTCCAATACGATTCACGACTCTCAGCTGCAAAAGACAGCAGCTGCAGCGCCAAGCAACCTTGACGCAGCCATTACAATGCGATATCGAGATATTGAATTGCAAAACACAATAGAACTACGTGCAACGGCGTGAGATCTCGGCGCCAAAGCAAAAAAATCACGATATTGAAGCACTTTTTAAGAGGAATTTGCAGAAAAATCACAAGCGCAAAATTGAAAACCTCTATTGACAAATGACTCTCTCAACCTTGATGCACCCACTTTAATACGATTCACAGCTCTCAGCTGCAAAAGACAATAGTATTGCGCACGCCGCGGCGCCAAGCAACTTTGACACAACCATTACAATGCGTTTTTCAGCATCAGGTGGCCAACACGCATCTCTCTACGCACATGGCAACAAAACGTGACACCAATCATGCAGCCATTACAGCAATCTGCAACCAGAGATTCAACAAGCGAAAAGAACTACGCACAAATGAACAACCACTCGTTGCAGAACACAGAGGAGGAACCGATTACGCGCGGAACGACCCCAGCCGCAACCGCCGCACACAGGAGGTACCTTTCATCGCCGGCTGCAGCCACTTTACACGGAAAAACACAAGGTTTCGTGCTCCGGCTTCCCTCCAACAAGCGCCATGCAACATTCATGCAGCCATCACAATGCATTTTGCAGCATGACGTGGCTAACCCGCATGTATCTACGCACATGGCAACACGAGATGACAACAATCGTGCAGCAATTCCAATAAGATCTGCAATCACAGATTCAAGAAACGCATAGAACTACGCACACATGAACAACAACTCGTTGCAGAACACAGAGGAGGAACCGATTGACCTCGAAACAATCCATACCGCAACCGCCGCACAGGAGGCACGTTTCATCGCCGGCTGCAGCCACTTTACACGCAAAAACACAAGGTTTCGTGCTCCGGCTTCCTCCCCAAAACAGACAGACTCCATGCAACATTCTTGCAGCCATTACATTGAGTTTTGCAGTCTCACACCACTCTTCATTGAGTGTATTGTTATGTGGTGTAAAGTCTCACACCACCCTTCATTGAGTTTATTGTTACATTATGTTAAATCTCACACCACCTTTCATTGAGCTTATTGTTGTGTGATGTAAGACCTCACACCACCCTTTATTGAGTGCATCGTTATGTGATGTAAAATTTCACACTACCTTTCATTGAGTTTATTGTTATGTGATGCAAAGTCTCCTTTCCACCCTTCATCAGGTAAAAGTCATCCGTAACTCGGAAAATTGCTCCCCAACTTCCTTTGATTAATGGATATACATGGACATTGAGATAGATTGTTCAATGGCTATAATGTGATATAATCCACTGAACAATCATGGGTTTGCCCAGTGATTCCCCGGGGTTTTGCAGTTCTTTGTTGGTTTTTGGACGCACTTCCTATAGGCACAGCGCGTTTTTGTGCATTTTTTACCACGTACGTCAGTGTTTCGTGGGGTTGGGGTGGGGTGGGGTCGGGTGGGGCTAATAACGTTCCTTGGCATTTAACATGTTGCTACGCTTGGACATGTGGTTACGCTACACGAACATAGGTCTGATGTTCACTGATAGAAAATGTTGCTACGCTTGCACATGTGCTTAAGCTACGTAGGTGGGATGGGGTGGGGTGGGGTGAGGCTAATAACCTTCCTTTGCATTTAACATGTTGTTACGTTTGCACATGAAGCTACACGAACATGGGTCTGATGTTTCGCTGATAGAAGATGTTCCTACGTTTGCAGATACATCTTCTTATAGTTGTATACCAGATGGCGTCTGTCGGCGTTTTGAAAAGATGTTGGTTATATGTTGAGTTTATGTTGAATAGATGTTGATTATATGTTGAATATATGTTTAATAAGTGTTGAGTATGTGTTGAGTAGACGTTGGGTATGTGTTGAATTTCTGTGGATTATATGTCGAACAGATGTTGAGTACATTCAATCCAGAATAGATGTTGAACATTGGAATTATGTTTATCATATATGGTGACAAGTGACACGGCGACCGAAGTAAGTTAGAAATCCAAATTTTCCCGAAATTGTCAGGTTATTCTGGTTTATTCTTATCTATGATGTGTTTCTTTGATATAGTTTGTTCGCCCTCAACATGGGATACAGATCCCTTAAGTATCATTGTGAGAGGCCGTGCAACCAACCCACATCAATTAAGATCATCCCATCGAAGGCCCCAGATCAGTTTGTTTTTTGACGGGCATTCGTTACGGTAAGTCAATATGTATGGATATGTCTTATTATATACTAGTTGCAGTTCATATCATACGATATCATACGATATCCGTTCACGCACACATATATATATAGTTACAATATATAATGAAATCTATTCTCACATACATATATATATATATATATGTATAGTTGTACAATGTGATTTAATACGAATATCACCATATATGCCATCTATTCCTTATAGATGTTTGAATTATCCCAACCTCAATCCTGGATTCGCATCGGTCCCAACTGGCTGTGTCCTGTATCAATCAGGTGATCGGAGCCGCTCTCTTAGGCGCAGTGGTGCCATGCGACAAGGCTGACCTGGAAATGGGAACCTAGAAAGTTTGATTAAATAATGTGGATAAAAGAATAGACCATCCATTTGGGAATGATTTATACTTGTTTATACATGTTTATACTAGTTATACTACCTATTTATGATGCAATTGGGGGTGCTTTATTGTTTCACCCACATTATGATGTTGCCCATTCCGGGAAAACCATGGTTTTGCATGGAAAAAAACCGATAAGCTGCCTACAGGAGCAGACTTCGACCAGGTTCATTGTTGTGTTTCATCAATATGTACACTTCACCTCAAAGGCATTCAAAGGCCACTTTGCCCATCAGTATGGGTATTTTGAGGATTTTAAGGATCCTTGGATGTCCTCGGCAGATTAGAGATGTATGATCCATCCGCATCTTTATTGGAGATCCCAGATCTTGTCTATTGGCGGAAAGAACTCGTTTGAAACATTTTTTTTGGCAAGTAGATAAAATAACTCAGTAGTAATCTGACATTCTGACATTCTGACATTCACTAACTAGTTCGGCAATCAGCAGGCTGTTTGATTTTGTGGATTGAGCCATGTCAATGTTTGAGCGGATGTTTGCAAAAGCGTGTATATATGTATGTATGTATGTATGTATGTAATGTATGTATGTATGTATGTAATGTAATGTAATGTAATGTAATATAATGTAATGTAATGTAATGTAATGTATGTATGTATGTATGTATGTATGTATGTATGTATGTATATACATATGTATACATATATATATATATATTGGGTACCAGTATATATTATATAATATTATATCTATACATAGTAGTGGACTGTAGCTGATGATATTTCATGATAATTCAGCAACATTTTTTGCTCATAGATTACCATGCTATGCTATCCAACCAAGCCACTAACCCACCTACATAGAATTTATAGGACCTCCAATGATGCAACCCCCATTCCCATACTATTGGGGTTTCTTACGAATTGTCCTAAGAACTTCCACTAAACACAAAAGATCATGACGTAATGATATCATGATATGGGGGGTTCTTAAAATGGGGGATCCTCAAGTCACGGGTTAATCTATACTAGTCGTATACCAGTCGTCATGATCATCCATGACGACTGGATGATGCCAGTTTCCGAGCAGGATTTGACGATGAGTTTGGCCTCAAACTCAGTGGCGCCAGGTTCGGCCTGGGACACGTACCGTTTGACCCTCCAAGTACCGTTTGAAACATGGAGTAGTTGTTTGTACCAAGTTTTTGTTTTATCTCTAAAATCAAATTCTATGGATACTTGGATCATCTTGGATCTAAGTATGTACTGCAGATATTTGCATATTGCAGTATTTATACATAATAATATAATATTTATATTTATATCTAAATAATATTGTATTTATATCCATGTAAGCCCTTATGACAAGGTCCGGATCAAAACGCTTGCTGACAACTCCTCGTTCCATACGTCCGGATCACCGCGGAACGATCCATACCCGTTTTTTGAGCCATACCTATATATATATATATACATACATACATACCTAGAGGCTCCAAATGCCTTTTTATTGTTGCCTTTTAGGAAAAAGGCGACTTTGCCTGGTAAAAGGCGCCTTTTGATGCTTCCCGGCGTTTTCAAACCCGCACCGGCAATTCTGGTTTGCAGATTTTTTGAAGGAGTTATTCATGTTTGCAGCCGGCGTAATTGCCCATAATTCCGGCGTAATTGCCAGTAATTCCGCTGTAGTTGAAAGTGTTGCTTCAACATACATCTGTAGATCCGTCATTTTTTGAAATTCTCCGGCGTTTTTGCAGAATTACGGCGTTTTTACAAAGAAAGTGTTGCCTCCGGCAATTTTGTTGGCCAAAAGAGTTTTTATATATATATATACACATACATATACATATAAAATCATGTTAATGTGACTAAACACTAGAACTTAAGCATAAGGCGTGGCAAAAGTTGGTCATGTTTCACGCAACGCATGGGGATATGAATCCACGGTGATTTTCTAAACACGACGAACATCGGGGCTCTGTGACCCATCCGCGTTTCTGATCAAAACCGTTTGACACAAAGATCGGAGGGTCAAATGAGAATACCCAGTTACCCATAGTTACCCAATATTGATTATTCTCATTAAATATTACCCAATTTGGGTTATTCCCCTATGTACATATTAAATACCCAAGATGTGCCTCCAAAATGAACGGATGCAGTCAGATGCAGTCAGTACCAGGGTTTCTGGGGAGATTTTCAGAGATTTGCGATGTTCCGTCAGTGGGATGAATCCAGCACATAATATTCATATGTATTTACTTTCTATATATATGTAACATGTACATATTTTACCATATATGTTTTAAACATTGTTACATTGTTCATATAAAAATCCTTTGGGTAGTCCATCAATATTCAAACTTGTAACAATATTTAAACATTAAACATCGTTTAGACCAATGTTATTCCATTTATTCCATGAATATGTCTTGGAAAAGGATCAATCGGCGGCCCACCCTCCATGTCAGGATACGACTTGGGCCACGCACTCTTTGGAGACGCTTGGGCCATGAGTTTCCTGATGGTTCCGGTGTTGTGCTTTATATTTACCTGCATTTGGGCCATGCCTCCATGTAATTATACTATGCATATATATACTATATATATATACATATATATGTATACTATACATACAGTTTGATGTTTGGCTGTTTGAAGTCTTTGCTTGTAAATGTAGGTATAGATATAGCATACATGGAGAATCTGGGTTATTTAGTCACAGTCACATTTGTTTTTTTTATCACCCTTGAATGTCTCAATGTCGGACCAGCTGGCTCATGTTCCATCCTTTTGATCATGTTCCATCATTTTCCATGACTGGTTGGTGGTTTCAAACATTTGTTATTTTCCATTTTCTATATGGGATGTCATCCTTCCCATTGACGAACTCCATCATGGTTCAAGATGGTTATTGCACCACCAACCAGATGATGTTGCATCAGTTTCTTCTGCCTTGGTGCCCTTTTTCGGGGTTGCAAAACAACACCCGTCTCAACACCTGGTCACCTGGATGCTCTGGAAAGCACCAGTGCTGTGACGTTTCGTCACCAAGAAGTTAGATGTGCCCGACTTGAGGTTCAGAACTAGGGACTGGCAACCAGCCAATAGTGGTTGAAGATTATGATAAGCCATATTAAGCCATTGTAGTTTGGGTAGATCATCCGCGAAAAGCGAGGGTGAAACAACTTTGGACCAGCAAGCAGCCAGATTTTTATTGTGATATATGACTTGATATGACCTATGAATGATGGGGTGCAACTGATCAGTGAGCAACTACGGAACAGTATCCTCCAATTCAAGTGCCTTTTTGTGCCTTGACCCTCAACCCAAGTGTCTTCGGCTACTGTAAACATTTGTAAGCCTGTTTTGTTGATGTTTGTTTTGGAGGCCAGATATTATCAAACGGCCTTTCGATCTAGACGATATTCACATCTAGACCGTGTAGAGCAAGTTTCATTTTGTGGAGCTATAACTAGATATGACTAGATATGACTAGATATGACTAGACATGACTAGATAGATAGTTCATTCTTTTGGGTGTGGCAAGCATCCTTTTCTTGCGTGTGGCATGTTTGGAAGGTGTGCGGATGTTTTAAGCATCTCAGGTTCGCTGAGGTAACAACAGAATCATAGCAATGGACATATCAGCTACAGCCAAAAATTAGGCTAATGAAGAGTAGTATTCGAGACATCTTTATTTTTTGGAAATTGAGCTGGGGCTTGGAAAACGATAATACGCTCTTCAAAAAACGATAACATTTGCGTATATACCAAAACCTGAAAAACGATAGTACACTCTTCAAACATTGATGACTTGGAGCTATATACCAAATATTGACCGTGGCCCATATCATTTAGATATTCAGTTGTTCTTGCTTCAAACATATGTGAATATGTTTTTATGATTACATCATGTTTACATACAATTACATATATATATATATATATACACATACATTAAACACATTGTGTATATATATATATTTATGTATACATAGTTTCTATATGTATAATATATATATATATATATATACACATAAACAGTGTATATATATATATTCACATTGATATATGTAGACAATATACTGACATATTAAGATAATTACTATATATATATATATGTGTGTGTAAATCCCTAGGAAGCTGTTGGCACCTTCCTGCTGTGCTTCACCGTCTGGGAGACTGCAGCCACTTGTTTGCGCTTTTGGCCCGGGAGTTTTGGATCAGCCTATGGTCATTGAGGGGGACTCAACACCACCAGAGGAGCACCAACAAAAATGATCATGTTAAACGTTTAACTATAGGTTTAAGATTTAACTATGAGATCCTAGTTTTTATTTTAAAAAAATGTTTCTACCTCTTACCTCGCATAGTATGGTACATGGGCATCATGGGAATTGTGTATGATTTGAGATAGAGCAACCCTGTTTGTACAGAGCTGCCTGGCCGATCATTGAACATCTTTGATGGGTCAAGTTTACTCATTCTTTGTATGATACTAATTTAGCCTTGCTTCGCCTTATATAGCCTTGCCGAGGGGTGTGCAAAACCTTCGTTGGGGACAGGGGACGACCCTAAACCGATACCCCTGTTTTGCATGAGTCGCCTCAAAGTCTGTGAAGACAGAAATCTTCATTACCGATAGGGGACGACCCCAATTAAATTTGCGCATGGCATGAATATGAACAAGCACTTTCGTCCGCCATTCGTATGGTACAAAATATCCAACCCCACTCCAGAGGGAGCCTCAATCTTATGCCCCATGTCTCCTCAAAATCAATCCAGTTTTTTCTTACCGGGTTACCAAGGTGGTGTCAGTGTCACAAACCGGTAAGAATGCCTGCCTTGCGCTCCGCGGCTGCAAGTTGCGACAAGTTGCTGCGCCAAAGGCTACTGAGCTGGTGATAAAACTTATCAACGAACACCCACCCATGAATTGTGTATGAGAAATAATTAGATATATTTAAAAATTGGGGTTCACCATTGCTATCGATTAGGGGAGGGTATTGCGTATGTGGGTTGGCTCCTTTGGTGCAGCAAACCAAATTACACGATGGTGTGAGCTGAAAACGACCAACATTCGTGCGAATCGAGAGTCCTATACTCATATGCCCACATGGATTTCTCTAAGAGTAGGATACCTGCTTATTTTATGTTTTATCGTCATTTTCCTCATAATTTCATTTTGGGGTATCTGTGCAGTATCCCCATTTTTGAGACAAACTCACATCGTCTCATATGTGGCTTTGTATCATTCGTATCCATCCCCCCCAAAACAATCAAATGAATTCAAACCCATAGGATCCATGGTGCTATATATGGTAACATGGATCCCCATCAATATACCCCAGTCATGTTAGCATATTTCCCAGCACCATGGATCCTATGCGAAATGATATAGGCAAATATCGGCTCCATGAAGATACCATGGGGTTCTTCGGACCGTTGGCCGTCTGTCAACAAAAGCGCGCCTATCCGGGGGGGCCCGGGACCAGGATTTTGGGCGCGGGAACCAGTGATTCCATGGGACCTGGATCAACCCCCCAATTGGTAGAAACTAAGCATGCCTGGCATGGGACGAATGACAATCCCATGGAAGATTCTTATAGGAACGTCTGTATGAGTTTTGTTTTGACTCTGAGGCCTGTATGATTCTGTAGTTTTGGTGAAGCAACCTGGACCCCCACGTGACCTGCGCATGTTGGGGGTGGTGTTTTGGGTGTAGGTAACGGCCTCCAAATAAACCAACGGACCATCCCGGGGTTTCCACAGAGAGTCCGTGGCAGCCATCTAGGATTGGAGGATCCGTGATGATCTCAGTGTGCATGTTGATTCCTGCCACTTGGAGCCTACAGCGCTTGGCACGGCTTTTTTGGGTCCTCTTAATCCAAGATGGGCATAAAACATGACCATGTGTAATGGGTAAAACGTCTACATTTTTTCCATCAAATGACTTGGCTACTTTTCCATGGATATATGTGAATTTACTTACTGGAAGTTATTCTATAGCTATATTGTAGAGGGGTCTTGGGAAGGTTGCGAGAATCTGAACATTTGTCATCCTTGATGTTCCCATAGACTTTGTTGGTTAGATATGTTGAAATCTTGTAAATAGAAGCGGTGAGTCTGAGCCAAATTGATGTCCGAAGCATTGCAGAGAGCTGCTAACTGCCTATGTCCATTGGCATCCATTTGCTTTGGGACATTGATCAGTCAATCCACGGTGTAGACCCACTGGATTTTCTTGGGCGCCACAGATGTTTGAATCACCCACTGCCCAGATCTGCCCAGTGTCAAATCCCATAATTTCCAGCACATAATTTCCAGCTGGGATGTGTCAAACCATCCAAATCTTATCATTTTTTGCAGATGAACATCCACAAGGTCCACCAATTTTGCTGTGGAGGGGCACCAAGGGGCACCAGGCTTCTGACCCACTGAATGGAGCAGTTGAGCAGTTTTTTACAAGGCTTGGACGATTGAAATCCCTACATGCCAGTACTTTAGTTTTTAGAAATGTGCACTTTTGTTGCTGTCCCATTCTTGTTTGCTAATTCCCTCACTCTTCTGTTGGCCAATGTTTTTTTTGTGTGAATCCCATTTGGTCCGTAAATCTGTTCTGGTTTGTCGTTTGCCAAGTGTGTTGTATTCTCCCAAAATTGATTGGTTAAGGGATTGCATCACATGTTTGTCCTTGAAACATGTTCGCCGAGATCACGGGCTGCTCCATCAACCCCGCGCGTTCCCTGGGCCCTGCTGTTGTGAGCCGCTTTCGAGGCACCGGGAAATCGCTGGGAAATCGCTGGGAAATCACCTCTCCAAACATGTTTTTGGATGTTTTTTTGATTGGAACTCTAGAGCCCTACGGTAACCTGTGGGTAACGTGGATTGGACAAACATAGATGGACATAGATGTGGGAAAACCAGGTTTTTTCCTTTTGGAAAATGATCTCGAAATGGTGGCTTTTCCACATCTATGTTAGTTTTACAGGAGGCCAACCCAAATTAACTATAGTTTTGTCGCGTTATTCTATCTGACAGAGTGAATCCTCCGAGGTCCCTGTGATAGAAACACGAATCACGAATCCAGCTGGTAGATGGTGTGGTTGTGCCCAGCATACTGTGGAGGACGGAACCAGGCATGAACAAACAGCCCCAGAGCAGGGTGCCAAAGAGCTATATAGCTATACGAGTAAACCCGGGAGCTGTGAGGGAAATGAGTTGGAAGTTAGTCATGAAATGCTGGTTGGTGCTTTGGAACATGAACGTTATGACATTTTCATGTTTTTTCAGTTTTCCATTCAGTTGGGAATGGTAGGTCAACCAGATTTAAAATCAACTGTCATCATTCTGTCGCCAGTGAAATCCCCGAGCATGGAGATACACATTTTTCTGACTGTCACTTTCAGCTAGTTCTAAGCAAACTATGACCACCGACCACCTCACCATTGATGGTACATAAGGCATGGGCCAATGGGGTATCATTCCCAAATTGGCAAAAGTTTTGTTCATCCGAATCATCACAATTCCTGGAGGGAATAGTAAGCAACCAAAACGGTGGTTTGACCCATCCTTGCACAATAGGATTTACGATATATGTATATTTTATATATATATATATGTATATTTTATATATATATATACGTATACACATGTATGAGGTTTCCGAGCACATGATAGCCAGCTCAATGCAGACCGACCCGCATGTATGGTCCTGAGTAGGGGAAATCGCTCCACATTTATGTTTGTTTGGTTTGGAAACTTAAAATCCGACTGAAATTGACGGGTGGTGATATACGAATACTCTTGATTACCACCACATGTAGATACGCACATTGACACATAGTTTCATGTGGTTTTTCATGTTAATCCACTGGTTAAACAGCTTTATCCAATGGTTATACCATTTAATGCACTGACCAGTGGATACCACAAGGTACGCTTTAATCCACTGGTTAAACATGATGTTCAGCACGACACAGTTGAGTTTTGATGGTTGGATCCGCCCATTTTCAGACACACCCAGATCATAGAGTTGGTTATATAGTCCATTGATATCCGTATAATTATGTATATATATATATATAATTATGTATATATATATATAATTATGTATATATTTATAATTATGTATATATATATATATATATATATATACATATCCACATTCAATTCCCAGTGTATAGATTTATATAGTATATAGATATAGTACATTTCAGGTTTTCGATGCTTTTCGCCCTTCACATACCGGATCATACCGGCCCATTGCATGGCATTACCAGGCTGTGACAACTATGCCCCTGGAGGACTGCAGGACCTATGGATCATGTGGCCCGGAAAATTCATGGCGCGGCTACCATTGCTTAACGGTGAACGAGTTGAATGCCACCAGGATGTATGTACAGTTCGTATGTAGAAATATTATATATACTCATATATTATATGTATATTTCATATATCTATACTCCACTAAAATTTGGTTAGTTTGTGGTTTTCAGCACCTTTAAATAATTTTTACCTGGGATGACCCCAATCGGCTATTTTGTTCAGGGTATGTGTTCACCACAATCTTTACCGGGCCATGTGTAGCTTTCAGGGAGGTTTTCAGTCAATCAGTGTGCTTTGTGTTGTTGGGGATCGGATCCGCTTGTGAAGGGTGATGGCGCCGCCCAGGGATCTCTTATTTTTCCTCATGATATTTTGCTGTGTACAGTAAGGAGATGCAACCTCTGGCCATACCCCTGTAATCTAGACCAAACCTGAACGTTTGATGTTTGCTTTTCAAAGATCCAGATGAAAAGCCTTGTAGGTAGTTTTTCGAGATGTGTCTGAAAAAATGTCTTTTGATGCGTCCCAGTGTCCCAATCCTTCCTCAGTCATTCGAGGTGGCTTGGCCCTTGCTTGGGTGGTATTTTGGCGGCTTTTGCTCATCGACCACTCTCATTGAATCTGGGCTGAACGATTAGAGAGGCGCCCCCACCTTGGTCCATTATTTTCCCCAAAGCTTTATGGCGTAAAGGATTCCCTAGAGTTACAGAGAATGTATTGAATGCAATCTATTCCACAAAGCAATTTCACTATACTATACTCTTATTATGCATGTCTTTATATATATATATATATGTATTATTGATTTGCTTATTTATTTATGTGTTACTGATTTTCAATTTCTTAGAATCCCCCGATTAGAGTAGTACAGATTTGACATACACACTGCACAACCACTGTACATATGTTCAATCGCTGTTTTACATACTGTATATACATAATCCACAGATCAATAGCACGTAGACATACCAAATAGAGTAGATATGATGGATACACTAGCCACAGTAGGTACAGGAGAGAACAGACATATACTGTAGATGCATATTAAATTCACGTATCTACTTGCGGGAAAAACAAATGTCTGGAAATCGAAGGGATATTCCCTCCTATTTCCAACAGCCTTGCCGTGAGGTTGCCTGTTGAACAGTCACCTCCCGGTTCACCTGTTACCGTTGATTGAGGCTTGGAAAAACACTGTTTTGAATTTGTTTGCGGTTGTTGGGAAAGACCTTGGTTGGATGTGGGTGGAAGCAACCAACATGGAGCTTTAACATCATTTATGATGTAACATGATTTACCCTCTGGTAAACTAACAGCTTGCGATGGAAAATGACCCATTTATAGATGGTTTACCCATTAACAATGGCGATTTTCTATAGTCATGTTAGTTTACCAGAGGATAAGATGATGGAACATGGTTTAAGCCACAACAAATGAGATGAAATGGCGATAGAACTTTGGGAATATCACACGGTAAAAAACATGACGACGTCCCTGGCCGATGTCACAAGACATAATGGTGAATATTGCCAACGTGCTGAATCTGGGGTTTGAAAATAGGGTACAACATGATACAACACCACATCCCAAGAAACCCACTGGTGAATGCTAGGTGAATATGATTGATTTATTGTCAACAGACAATTTGCATGAATACTCAAAAGCATCACTTTTGCAACGCCTGTGTGGTGTAACTCAGACATTTCTGATTGCGCCCCCCAAGACGAGCAAAAACGCTTCGACAGGTGATCATATCATCGGAACGCCTGGAATGAGTAGCTTGGGTCTATCTGAAAATCTGTGATCTGCCATGATCCCCGTAAATGGCCATTCTACTTGGGAACATTATGGTAAACCATTGGGTCTGCGGGTATCCTATTTTCAGATAAATCCACTTTGGGTTGGGAGCAGGTAGTGGGAGTCACGATCTTGGCCTCGGAAGACGTTGTTTAGCATTTGTTTTTTACAGGCAGGGGTTCTTCTAGGAAACAAAGGCAGGGAAAACCCACGGATTTTCAATAGTAAACTAAGGTAGGGAAAACCCATGGATTTTCAATATCCTTGGGCTAATATATAGCTGAGGAAGTGTGTTTGTTTAAGACAACTTTTTAATCTTGTTCAATTAATTTAATTTAATCCTTGGTCACTACTCATCCTGGCTTAAGTAATCTTTGTTTAAACTGAGGCTAGTCGTGTTACACAAAGATGTTTCATTCGCGGCACGCTCTAGAGCGACACCATCCTCACCGCTTGGCCCCAGGTGGCCCCTTTGTCAAAACCACGCCATTGCCGCGCTGCATTGCTGCGCCACCAGGTGGTGAATTTTAACATCACCTCACTAGGAAGTTTAGTGAGCAACCAACCAACCAATAGTGGTTAATCATTATCAACCACTATTCACCACTATATTAACCACTATGAATTCATGTGTCGTATGACGAAAAGCATGCCCCGGTACTGTAACAAGGGTATATCAGGTATATCATGGTATATCTGTGAGGCAAATCTGAAGCACCAACAACCATGGATTTCTTGGACAAATCTTAATAGTTTGTTATTTGGGTGTCTCTGTTGGGGGCACTGGTTCTTATCAATCATATCCAAAAATAGTTGATGATGGCAGTCATATCATAAAATTCTTGGTTTGGATATGATTGCCATCATCAACTATAATATGTTTTTCAAATTCAGGTGATGGAGCCTGCCAGAAGAAATGTATACTTTTATTTACGAAGAAGGACATATGATGCAGCTTGCTATTGGGATTCAGCGAGAGAAATGATATGTGTTCACTCCGCACTGCATATATATATATATGTATACATAGAGAGAGAGAGAGACATACATACAATGACATATTACCCACCAAAAGGATGTAACTCAAAAGAATGTGGGTTCTAAAACGATCAGTTTAGGATTGACTGCCATTGGTTTGTACAAGGCCAGGGAGAATAGAGCCATTGTGAGGAATTCCAAGAGGGACATGTAAGGAATATCAGCCATCAATCGATGGAAATCACCCAAATCCAGGTTTGGGCTGATGGGAATTATGATGAATAATTGCAGCGAAAACATGGGATCCAAGATACTAGATTATATTAGATTATGTGTGTGTGTGATCTGGCGGGTGAGTTTGAGTTCATGTGGCTCCCCCTGCTTACAAACAATATATGGTTTGACGTTTGTGGGGTTGTACAAGTTGTAAAATGTCAGTAGTTGGCCTAATTTAGGTTTACCACCTCAATTGCTTGATGCATCATTTGAAGTTCATGGCTCTGACTCAGTATTGTTTTTTTAAGGGGTCCTGAGGTCCACATGGGGTAGCATCATATTTAGAATATATATATATACACATGTTTTCTTGTGGGAAGATGGGATTGATGAGATGGTCACATTTTTGATATAGAATTCTGCTGCTGATGACGACGGTTGGCGAAACCGGGGTTACCTGTTTGCCAAGATCACCATTTGTTGAAGGGTAAATCATCTGTAAACGGGACATGTTTCATATCTCTATATACACATATGTATATACATGTATGTGTATATATATATATATACTGACCTGTTTTTATGATAGTTGAAAAGGTGGTACTGAATGTATAGGCATCGTTGGACAGAATGGTCACCCACCAGTATTCGCTACTGGTACGAATCGAGGCATTCTTGAAACGATCACTACAGGACTACAGGTGAATGGGGTACCCCTAGGACACTCTCTAGCATTCTGCAGGAAACTAGCTGAATAGTTGATACTGCTGGAGACGGAGGTAAGCCCAACTAACACCCAATGGAATTAGCACAAGTTGAAGATTGTCAAAAAAGGAAGACAAACAAAGCCCCAGTAGCTGCAGACAAATTACACTACCTTTCGTTGCATGATAGTGGGACACTGCCCCAGATGAATGGAGCCCAAAGTTTAAATGAATGGGATGGTTGAAAATTGAAATGCTTTGGAAGGTCTTTTGAACTCCCTTGTCAACGCTTTTTGTGGAGACCCAGCCAGTGAGAAAAAACACACACACTAGATGAAGCTACCAGTAGCGACTGCGCTTGTGGAGTTTTGGCGTCGCTGGACCACCCTAAATCGAGCGTTCTAACAGGGAGCGACCGTCACTCCCTGTTAGAACACTCACTACCGGTAGCGACTGCACTTGTGGAGTTTTCGAGTCGCTGGACCACCCTAAATCTTGCATTCTTCTCAGTACAACCCCAGCGAAAACACAAGATGATCCTTGGGTCGATGATTCCGGTGGCACCCTTAGAACACTCACTACCGGTAGCGAGCGTTCTAACAGGGAGCGACCGTCACTCCCTGTTAGAACACTCACTACCGGTAGCGAGCGTTCTAGTGGAGTTTTTCCGTCGCTGGGGCACCATCAATCTTGCGTTCTTCTCACTAAGACCCCGGCGAAAACACAAGATCATCCCTGGGTCGATGTTTCCCAACCCTCCCTTAGAACACTCACTACCGGTAGCGAGCGTTCTAACAGGGAGCGACCGTCACTCCCTGTTAGAACACTATTTAACTTAATAGCACCATTTTTTTATACATTTTGAATCCCCAAATCACTACCGGTAGTGAGCGTTCCAAGGGCTCCACATTGACAGAATTCCCAATTCACTACCGGTAGTGAGCGTTCTAAGGGCTCCCCATTGACAGAATTCCCAATTCACTACCGGTAGCGAGCGTTCTAAGGGCTCCCCATTGACAAAATTCCCAATTCACTACCGGTAGCGAGCGTTCTAAGGGTTCCCAATTCACTACCGGTAGCGAGCGTTCTAAGGGTTTCCAATTAAGGGTTTCCAATTCACTACCGGTCGCCGGTAGCAAGCGTTCTAAGGGTTTCCAATTAAGGGTTTCCAATTCACTACCGGTAGCGAGCGTTCTAGGGGTTCCCAATTCACTACCGCTAGCGAGCGTTCTAAGAGTTCCCAATTCACTACCGCTAGCGAGCGTTCTAAGGGTTCCCAATTCACTATCGGGAGCGAGCGTTCTAAGAGTTCCCAATTCACGACCGGTAGCGAGCGTTCTAAGGGTTTCCAATTCACTACCGGTAGCGAGCGTTCTAAGGGTTCCCAATTCACTATCGGGAGCGAGCGTTCTAAGAGTTCCCAATTCACGACCGGTAGCGAGCGTTCTAAGGGTTTCCATTCACTACCGGTAGCGAGCGTTCTAAGGATTCTCAATTCACTATCGGTAGCGCGTGTTTTAAGGGACCCGATTCACTACCGCTAGCGAGCGTTCTAAGATGTTCTAAGGGTGCCCAATTCAGACCAGTAGTGAATGTTGGTGGAGTAACCGTGGTTTCCAAAGATGCAAATATACAGTACCACCTTTTCAACTATCATAAAAGCAGGACAGTATATATATATATGGTGCACCTTATATATATATATATATTCATCCTTATATATATATATATTCAATTACTGGAGGATTGCTCTTTTTTTTGGTTCCCACACACCCATGTTGAACCAACAGTTGTTGGGGTATTTGTTTTATTGATAATTATATATATATATATATATGGATTTGCGCGATTTGGATGTTGTTTCGTTGCCGGTGGAGCAGAGGACAAGAACAATCTCTTGATCCTGTTGCTATTTTGATACAGTGGCTGTTTTGAAGGTTTTAGACCTTGTGGGTTGACCATCTCCCACTAAAAACCCTGCCGAGATAGAAAACTGGGACGAGATCAGCATCTAGACGCAGCCCATGTTCGGACAACGGAGACTTGCTCAGTGCATTCTCATACCTGCATGTTTGTTTAAATTAACAAGCCTGTATATAAATGATCCAAATGAGCATTGCCCAAACATGAGCGTATACTTCGATTACTTAGATACACCACGACCATGAGTATTGAATATGGTTCCACTTCAAGAATCTCTCCTGGTCAACAATATAGGTTTCTGTTCAAGTTGACATTTAATATCATTTGATAATAAAATAATCATACTCACCCTTATGGAAATATGGGGATTCGGATCATTCGGATCCCCGATTTCTGGATTGGTCCCAGAAGTCTTGGCCATGGAGATCAACCTGGCCCCTGGATATCCAGGGTGCCAGGAATTTCTCCCTGACTAGAGCTGTTTCAGGCGGTCAACCTGTGGCTCAAACTGTGTCACCCAACGGGTGAGTGTGGATCTTGAAGTTGCGGAGAAGGATTCTGTTCTGTTCAAGTTTACATTGATCCTGGATAAACGGATAACGTAGCCGACTTGATAAGCTTGGGGGTGCCTTCAAACCTGTTGAATCAAGTATGTGAGCACGAAGACCTGCGTGCTGGTAAACCAGTGCCTTCGTAAACCAGTGTTTCACTATATTTCACTAATCTCGGGTCAGAACATTGTCACTAATCTGGGCTTAAATATCACTATATACATTATGTATTCCAATATATATATATATAATTATATATATATATATACATATGCTGCTATTAGTTTCGCTATATGTTTCAACGTTTCAACAAGAGTTGAGCATGGTCTCATCCCCCGGATTTTTGTGGCATAGAGATATTTTTTTTCTGTAGATGATTGGCAATACAGACAGGAATCTACAGAAACGACATGTATATCAGTATCTCATGTTTCTGTCAATGTATATCCAAAGATATCTTTCAACAACTATGCCTAGACTAGATATGTAAATGTTCAGGAATTAATATGGGCTTAGTGCATCCCGGAATACCTCAGCACCTTGATCCGAAGTTTGAAGCCGACCCCGGAGATGAGCCTTGATGGCGAGCCTTGACGGCAAGCGGCGAGGGGAGCTGTGCCTTCCAAGAAGCTAAGCGACCCGACAGATGGCTGGGTTTTAGCCATCAAAACACCAACATCGCAAGGATCCAGAGTCACTCAGACTTGCAGAATTGATGTATATATAATTATATATAGTATGGGAACGTAATGCAATGCAAGGTAATGTAGTATAATGTAATGTAATGTAATGTAATGTAATATAATATAATGTAATGTAATATAGTGTAATGTAATGTGTATGTATATATATAATGAATATAATGTAATGTACTGTACTATAGTGTAATGCAATGTAATGCAACATAACGCAATGTAATGCAACATAACGCAATGTAATGCAATGTAACGCAATGTAATGTAATGCAATGTGTATATATTCACATATCATCACCATCAAATATGTATATATACATACACACCATTATACATCAAGGAGCCCAAGTGGCCTGTCTTTATTCTCGATTTTATGTGATATGTTCTTGATTATTGCTTATTCTTTTCATAGCATCATTTACTCAATTACTGATATGTTGACATCGCATGACCTTGATGTTGGAAATTCAACCTTGCTTGGTGCATTTTTGACCCAACGTAATGGCTGGCTTGATCATTGTAGACACGTGGAAGCTTCACATGGAACCCCCAAAAATGACCTCGGCAATGATTCTTCTATAGGATATCTTATGTTTGTTTCTTTCAGGTCGAAATTTCTGGGACTACAGCCTCTGTTGTTGTTGTTTTCTTTTCTTGCCATTCATTGCTGTACTGCAACATGATTGAAGAGAAAACAGGGCCAAACACCTGTACATAAACATGTATACACTCTTTGGTTGACAACGATTGCACTAGTTAAACATTTTGAATTGCTGCGGGTTCGCGGAATTGTTTCACATTCATGATGTTTTTCTTCATGCAATGTGCGCCGCTGCTACCACCGGGTAGAATCAAGTTTCCCAAACGGGACAGAGTTCCGAACTGTGATCCTGATTTATTGCCGCCATATTTACGAGCGCAGGGAACCGTACGAGATAAAGCATATTTTCGTTGAAAATCATGCCAAATGCCTTTCGTGAGTCAGCTAATTGTGGGGTTGCGGCTGCTGGCCTACAAACGGCTGCTGGCCCACAAAGATTGGGCGAACAAAAGATCCGTGCGCAGAAAGGCGTCTGATGCAACTGGAAGAAAGGGGTGCAGTAGGGGTCCCCAAAAGGTAGAATAGCGAAGCCTTTCTATTTTGTCCTCATGGGGTTTTGTGTTCCTGGAAAATATATATGATAATGCAAGACATAATATGTATATACATATATATACTTACATACAGTACTTTGCATTATGTATCCAAAGAAATCCTTCTCAGGGACCTTTGCTTCCAGCTGGCACTACAGATTATTCCTTAGAAACCTCGGTTTAGTAGTGGATTCTTTGGGGCGCCATATACGGAGGTGTTTAGGGCCAAATCCGTGAACATCCGTGGTCAGAAGTCATGGAACTTGGATGAAGCTCAGGGCACCATGGCCACAAATTTGCGATTCATCCCGGGAAATACTGGGAACTTCAAGAACTTCAAGGTCAATGAACCTGATTGAAAATCTACTACGGAGATGGAACAATGCCTATATTATATTTTTTGGGGGGGTGATGAACATCCATAGATCCCGGATATTTCGGGCTTCACCAGGCTCCGTGGGCGTCCCCTTACTCAGTTGGCCAAGTCTGGAACCTGAACCACTTTCGAAGCCTCGAGAGATGATGTTAGGAAAGCAAGTCCATGTTCAATGAGAGCCCATATTCCACGGAACCCACTACCCAGAAGTTCCGTGCTTCGTTAATTAATGAAACCTTGCTTATTTAAGGTAACCTTGCTTATTAACATTCTTTAATTAACGACTTTTACGTTAATTAAGAGAAAACCCTTCTTAATTAAGGTAAAAGTCCTTAATTAACGACTTTTATTAAGAGAGGTTATGTTTTTTAAGCAAGGTTAGCTTATTTAAGCAACCTTGCTTAAATTTAAGCAAGGTTTTTGTTTTTTTACCTCGCTTAATTTTTTTGTTTATTTTTTTTGATCAGCGGCGGTTTTTTTTTCCATAGCAGGTCGTCTGGGATTGCGGTTTGGTCGGGGCCAGCCTTGACATGTCTAGAGCAATGCCTCTAGGAGTAAGAAGAATCGGAAAAGCTCTGATAGCGGCCATCTTGTCGTCGGTGGATTCTGTCACGTTTCTTCTGTTGTCGCTTTCTCGAGCGGCTGCGCGCTCGTGCTCTCCGGTCCTCTTCGGCTGCTTGCTCTTTTTGTAGAACTGCTTCGCCTTCAAGATCTTCTTCGATGGCGACGGTGCTTTATTTAAGAGCAACAAAGCTTCGGAATATTTGTTGACAAATTCGTCCATGTACTCAATGGTGCGACACGTTGCTCTATTGATGCTTCGCATCTGATACAAGGAGGCTAAGGGTAAGAAAGACAAAATTGCGTCCAACATGGCACGGCTGATGCGGATAGGGTATGCCTCTATCTCTTCAGCGTGTCAGGTTTACACCACTGACTGAATGCGAGCCAAAGCAACGATAGCACACATGTAACATATCGCTGAAGGCATGACCACCGGATCCGCGCAGCGTCGCGACGTCCATTACTTTTTTTCCAGGCCTGCAGCAGGTCGACTTAGACACGGGGGAACGATTCCCGAGCAAGGAAACGAAACAACATCTGGCGGGAGACTGCTAGGATCGTGAAGGCACCACCACTGCGGCGTGCCAGCTCAGCAACTTCCCCACCCCATGACTCATCGCGGTAACACCACGTCAACGACGGATTCGTGCCTTCACGAGCGAGCTCCAGGAGCAGATGAGACTTGGGTTTCAGTCGCCAAGACGTATGATCGTCCTGTCTCTGCATGGAAGCGTTCAAGCCACACCATGCCTTTCATAAACGCTATGCTTGCGCTTTCGAAAACGACTGGGCACCAATTCGTGCGCGACGAGCATGCATACATTGTTACCACTTGTTGTCCGGTGTGCCCCATGGCTCGCTCGAGGGGCACGCCTCCATCGAGATACTTTGCAATCAATTCGCGGATTACTCCAATTAAGCCTCGGGTTTCCCCACCTTTGGCTCGGAGCTGCTCCCACCTTCCTTTTTCAACATTGTTGGCCTGAGACAAGGGATCCGATCTTCGATGCGCTCTCGAGCATAATACCCTTTGATGTCTGTGTTGAAGAACTCTTCGCATCGTTGCTGATGCGTGCCGTGGCGCATGCCACCACTGACCTTGAACATGGTGAGATACCAGAAGAAATTGCCCAAAAAATCTGTAATCACACCAAGATCTGCTGCGTGAAGCCAGTCGATTTTGATGGTGTCCACGGTCACGTGAGGGATGTCGAAGAATGTCGAGGTCCAATATGCACGCATATCCAATCACTAGTTTCCAATGCTTCCATCCTAGCAAAAATTCCCTTGACCTTCTCATGTTCCTCATTTCCAAAGAAACAAACTTTAATATGATAAACAATCAACACACTTCCATGCATCTATTTCGAAAAACCGTCCCCCAACTGATAAACAATCTTTTCCATGAAACACGCTAGCAACTCAACTACTATAACCCCAACAAAGTAATTATGATCACCCAACATAAATCCATATAGTCCGACCAAAAAACTATGAAATCCAAAACATATCACCATCCAATTTAACCTTGCTTAATTTAAGCAACCTTGCTTATCCTTAATTAAGCTAACCTTGCTTAATTTTTTTAAGGCTAACCTTGCTTAATCTTAATTAACGAAGCACGGAACTTCTGGGTACGTCATTCCACCACCTTCGATTCTCAGATGCCTTTCGATTCCCTTGACTAGAACAAACTGAACTGGCATAGAAGTGGATGATTCATATAGAGTTTTCGTGTCCCGGAAATCTACTAGTGGACCTTCGATGTGGCCCTAGCGAGGCAAACCGCACCATGGAAAATCTCGTGATGCGTAGCCCAGGACATTGGTGAACATCAAAATAGCTGGGATTTATGGATGGTAATCCTCCCATTATGGTCCCATAGGTTTTGACCCATGCCCATACCCATATATATAGCTTCACCTTCCCGGAAGTTTCTGGTTCAGCCGCCACTGTTTTCGGCCGCTTCCTCTATCTCAAGGCGCCGGTCAGAATGGATCAGCCACCTGGTTTCTCATGCGGATGTGTCTGAAAAAAAAGGGGAGACTGACTGGTATAATCTGGTGTATATAAATACATATATATATATACACACATACATACATACATACATACATACATACATACATACATACATACATACATACACACATACATACATACATACATACATACATACATAAACATACATACATAAACATACATACATAAACATACATACATAAACATACATACATGATCATACATACATCATCATACATAGATAATCATACATACATAATCATACATACATAATCATACATACATAACCATACATACATAATCATACATACATAATCATACATACACAATCATACATACATAATCATACATACATAATCATACATAGATAATCATACAAAGATAATCATACATACATAATCATACATACATAATCATACATAGATAATCATACAAAGATAATCATACATACATACATACCAACATGCATGCATGCATGCGTGCATGCATGCGTGCATACATGCATACATGCATACATGCATACATGCATACATGCATACATGCATACATGCATACATGCATACATGCATACATACATACATACATGCATACATGCATACATGCATGCATACATGCATGCATACATACATTACATTACATTACGTTACATTGCATTACATTACATTACATTACATACAGACATACATACATACATACACATTATATCTCCATTGTTTTAAGCATAATCCATTTGGTTTTTGGGATAGAACCAAGGCCCTGTCGCAACAACATGTCCAAAGCCCCAACTGGTTTCCGACGATGGTTAGAGGTTGGATTTCACCATCGGTCATAGATCAAAATAGTGGTTTCGTGATGTTTTGTGGATAATGATCAAAGGAAGTTGGGAAGCAATCTTGCTCTTGCGAGTTACAGATGATGTTTAATGGTAATTTTGTTAGTGATGGTTAAAATAATGATAGTTCCGATTGGTGGTTTCAAATCTTAAAACAGCCCAATATTCGGGAGGAAAGTCATGACCACTAGTTTGCGGTTGGATGATGAGACGGTTCCAGAGCCTGGCTTTTTGCGCAGGACCGACGTTTTGAACCAATGGTTTTTTACAACTTCCCTGGGTATGTTCTTCAATGCTGCTCACAATTTGAAACAATAGTGTAATGTGATGGATTTGAACATATTTGAAGCCTTTAGCATTAATTGCCCAGTGTTTTTGTAGACATTGTTGTATCATTGTCTTTGAATCTGCCAGGCCGGGTTTAACGACCGAAAGATGCTGGGGTCTGGCACCCAGCCACGGGGCTAAAACGGTGGGTGATTGCCTCCAGATCATCAGTTTTCGGGATGAAATTGATGCTGCAGCCCTTGTCTTGTGGAGCTTCACCATGGATATGTTGAAAACCGTGTGCCAGATGAGATGTGTCCATTATCCTCTCCAGTGGTTGGGCAGTAGCTGTTCGGAGCTATGGTTGTTTCCATATTCCCTATTGCATAGTAAGGCAAGGATGTGGAGGCTACAGGGCTAGCTATCATGACTGTTGGGTAATGGGTAACTTTTGTCATAACTCATTTAATTACTCCAACGAATTCTTTCATCATATATTTATATATATACATATCCACAATCCACAATTTGCGGTACGGTATATCACCCCTTTCTGGGTGGCACATGATGTAATTACATGTAATTACTCTACAGCAGTCGGTTTGGAACATATAGCTTACTAGCTTGTTGGCAGCTTCCTGAGACACATGTTCCATGAAATACAATATTAGTACCAGTAGTACCGCACAGGGCGGTGGCGGAAGTTTCAAAGATAGGACACTATAGGAGACGTGCAACGGAAGTTTCCTTCAACAAAGGAAAGTTGAGTGCAGAGCTGCTGGCCTCGTACCAATGAGTTTTGCGATTTCTCCACTCCATCCGCCTAAAGCGCTGCGCCTGCCACGAAAAAGTGATGCCAGGTCATACGAAACGCGGCATCTGTCACGCAAAATCATCTTAGCACACCTGAAGATCTGATGCTCCGAAATGCAACCCCTCTCAGGAAATCAGCGCCCTGACCGTCCCTGACCTCCCAACATCTCTGATGAACATGTCTCTTGTACTGTGCCTGCCACGTGAAATGCATCTTTGATCATCTCTGCAAATCCTCTTGCCAACGCTTTTGTCCCTGCTACAAAACCTTCATGTTTTGCTGATTTCTAGCAAGATGCGGAATCCCTTGCACCAGCCACGCGAAACGACATCTGAAAGTCCAAAAGTGCTCCGCACATACCTGTCAGTTTTTTGCACTTTTGAGCTTCGCGCCACAACGGTGCGCACTTATTCGACATCTCAACTTCCAAAAGTGCTCCGAACCTGAGGTGTTTTGTACATGTTGACTTCGACATGTGCTTCGCGCCACAATGGGGTGCAATTTTTCATCTCTCATCTAGCCAGATGGCTCCGCACCCACCGCTTTAGCGAGCCTACTTGTCGACCCTCCGGAGCCACAAATCAGTGGAAAAACACAGTGAATTGCGACTTTTCTACCTTTTCGCGCGCCTGCAACTTCTTTCCTCTGACCCTTTCTCTTCTTTGATCTTCTTTCTCTTCTCTTCTCTGACTCTCCCCACCTCTGCTTTTCCATGCGTCCATATTGTCGGAAGTTTGACTTCTAAAACTTCCTTCGGATATATTTATATTTATAATAAAACTGACTTAAACCCTTTGAAGTTGCCGTGAACATAGCTAAAAGTTCAAAATAAGAAGATATTACCCCATTTAAAGGTACCTGGGGAGTTTAAGGAGACACACAATTATCGCAAACCTTCAGGCTGCAAGTGAAGTGGGGTATCAAGCGATCTATCACTGGCTTCGATGGACCGGGAATGGGTGTTGCTGTTGCAGGATGTCAGCCGGCTTTTGTCGCCGTGCAATCTGTATCTCCATTGATTGTATTATCAGAACCAGCCATACAACTACAAATTCAAGAAGTACCATATGGGATCTTAAATTTATGAACCCCATTAGATCGATAATTCCTGATGGTCGACGAACATGAACGAATTTGGGGCTCCACGGGTACCGCATTATTGAGCCAATGCTATCAGAAACTCCTCCTGTATTATCTAGGGTCCTGTTATAGCTAGTCACGCTCACCAGTTCAGATGGTATATGAAGATATGCAGGCAACGGATATATGTATATATATATATATTTACATTTAAATAAATAAATATATATATATAATTATATATATATATACACATTTAAATAAATAAATGAATATATATATATATATATATACAGTATATACACTTATATCTACTGGCACATAAACACTGTTTAGTCAGCCCCACAAAGAGAGAACAGTAATTTATCACTGTTTTAGTGAGATGTTAGGTCTCTATTTGTGTGGATGTGTGGAATTTGCTCAAAATATGGATACATAGCAACACTGCAGACGATAGCTAGTGAGAGAAACCATCGCTGAGCTTACATCAGTTTGGTGCATGATTCGGATTCAGCCAGATCACTGGATTGTAAAAGGATCAAGTTCATGGATTTGATAGGGACCCCCAATGATGGTACTCCGGTAGCCCTACTCCGCAATACTGTTGGGGTTTCTATCTATCTAACTTTCAGCCAAACTATTCCCATCTAGCTGAGAACCTTCCTCAGAACTACAAAACAAAAACACGATGGCGCCATAAGAAACCATTCAGGAGAGGCAGGACGCATGCTTTGGAACCTGACCCAAAAATGCCGCAAAGGCGCTTGCCCTGAATTCAGACCACAGGGTCAACCATTGCAACCATTGACTTGGCAAAAATACAACTACATAACTGCGATGCCGAATGATGATTACTGGGGAGCGGGGATACCTATGTTTAAACAAAATATCCCAACATGGCCTTATTTTGGAGTATGATTGTTTTGAGGGGGTGTATCGTGAGTTGACCACTAAAGGAACCATGATTGAAGACCTGTCACCTCAAAGAGCCAGGAAATGAAGCTGCAGTGAGATCTGTCGACATGAAGGTCGAGTTCGGGACTGGCAAAAGCCGATATAACAAAGGAGCATGTATATGTGTATTATATTTATATTGAAATATATAATACATTTAATACATTATAATATATATATATATAATATACATCATCTGCCTGGTGGTTTGAAATCTTTTATTTCTGTTCATCCCAAACTGGGATGAACATTTTTCCATTGATCAACACATATTTCAGGGTGAAACCAGCAACCACTGTTCTGAAAGGTGCCTCAGGTTGGCCAAAGTAGGATGTTTGGAGGCAGCTGTCGGTATCTATGGTTCCCAGGTATATCATGGTTCTAGGGAAACTCATCAACCAACTATAGTAACTCGTATCATGAGATGGTACAGGGGTGTTTTTAATGGCCCAATTGCACATTTACGGAGATATTGAGTGATGATGGGCAAACACATGCAACAATTGAATGGCTTAGTAGATGGTTCGCCTCAAGTGTTTTCCGGTTCGCCTCAAGTGTTTTCCGCTCTTGTTGATCGTGTGCGTAGATGTATTTGCATAGTAGTCATGATATGATTATTGTGATTGATTCTTGTTATTATTATTGTTGTTAGTAGTATTTACATACATATAATCATACGTAATGTGTGGATATATATATATGTACTAAGGTCTTGACTTAAGTCGCATCTTGTTGAAGTCGCATCTTGATTTGCGCCAGCCACACGAAACTCAATTTTACTCATATCCACTGGTTTGATTTCTTATTACTAAATCATAAATCATATGTTTTTGTTGTTTTACCTGCGCGCCAGCTCACTTCTTCTTTATTCTTCCGGATGCTCCTGGCTAAAAACGGTGGCTGGGGCCTTGAACAAATCCGTATGTCATAAAAAAATATTATTCCGCATACCTGTCTGGGAGCTTACCCCAGGCCAACGCATATCTCCGCTCTTTCATAGATAGGGATCCATGGTTCCGTTGGCCCTGACTCCCGCCGCGTCGCCGCGCAAAAAACAATGCCTGTGATGTGAGTTAAGTCGACAATTGGTATGCGTATTAACAAGTGTATACATATATTATCACATATTATTTTTGTTGACAAGTCATTAAGATGTCATAATAATTATTTTATAATATAGTCGATTAACAATGAAATACATATATATATATGTGTGTGTGTACGTATTCATGAATAATGTAGAGTACGTTGATATGGTAAACGGACCTTTGGAACAAATATTTAAATGCTGATAGCATCTTAGCAACAAAAAACATTAATACCTTCACCCCAATATTAAACGTCCCCCCTCCCAGATAAAATAACCTGGGGTTGTTTTTACTATTAGGGGGCGTTTTATATACGGGGGAGAAGCTAGTTCCTAATACTAAATTAACAGCTTGAATAAAAACAAAAAAAACTCAAATTTTCGATTTCAAAATCAATTAAAATTCCTTTTAAAATCTAATTAAAATATTGCCAAAAATTGGATTTGAAGCTTTCCCCGAACATTACATTGAAAACAAAAAAAACACTAAAATTTTCGATTTCAAACTCAATCAAATTACTTTTTAAAGTCTAACTAAAATATTGCCAAAAATTGGATTTCGAACCGGGCCTAAGATTTTCGATTTCAAAATGGATTAAATTCTGTTTTTTAAATCTATCAAAATACGCCAAAAATTGCCAAAAATTGAATTTCAAAGTCTTCCCCTAATATATCCTAATATAGAATTTAAAACCTTAATGAAGAAACTGAAATTTCTGATTTTGACAAACAGACCAGACCCTAATAAAAAAACACCCCAGGGCTATTATTAAGGGGGTAGAACCTTCAAATGGACCTTGACTCTCAAATTGTTTTCTAAAGGAGATCAACTAAAAGTCAAATTGACCAATCTGAAATTTCCCAAAACAAATCATCTGGGGTAGTTTTTAGGTGGGATTTAGTAAAAACGGCAGCAGGGGTGCGACCTTCGCAGGCAGTGGTCGCAGAGTTGGTGGGAACTGCCATGCTTTGTGTGGTGGGCTGTGGCGACTCGGTTTCCTGTTGATCATTGTGCCATACCTCGAGCCTCAACCCGGAAATATGTACCTAAAATGGGGCAATTAATACAGTAGCCGATATGACTTCGGAATCTATTTCCATGGGTACCTAGAAGGGTCTAAGTATACATAACTCTACATATACGTTTACATATATGTCATTGACCCTTAGGAGGAATCTCGGCGTAAGATGCTCATCATGTCCACAAAAATGGCAATCCAACAAAGGACATAGGGAGACAGTTCAACATGGGACTGTTCCTTTGCCAGATGTTGCCATGCTAGGTTTCATTGCATGATTACCGGACAGTATGTACATTCACATGCATATATATATATATATATGTATATATAAATATACATGTATAGATATTCAGACAAAATTGAAATGGAATTGCCATGGACCAAACCGCTTAGGGTACGTTTTGGCACATTCAAGCTTTTGGAAGAAACCCGCATTAAGGCTTCAAAATGGTGGTCTCTTCCATCTTGTCCCCATTGGTTTCAAGCACTTTCTGCAAGAATCAGTTTGAGATGACTGAACACCCTGGTTCCTTGTCTTTTCACACAAAATTTGGGAAAGATAGCTGATGTCGAATTTTCATCCCCATCCCTATAGTAAATATTTATACAATAAATATAAACATTATATATAATACATATAAATATAATGTGTATATATAATTGTATATATATATGTATATATACAGTATATATAGTATTTTGTTTTAAAAATTAAATATTTTACATAAAATATAGTTTCTCATTTTTTAATACTTATGTAATACATCTAAATATTGTATATATAAGATATATATTCAATGTATTTAATGTATTTTTTTAATATATACAATGTATTTATTATTATATATAATATTTAATACACTATGTGTATTTGTGCAATGCATATCACTATTTTATTTATAATATATATATGATACGATTTATATAATATGATATAAATATATAACATAAATAAATATATAATATATTCAATATATATATATGTTTATGTATATATAATCTATTTTTATTTAAAACATACATAATATATAGTATATATGATATAGATATATATAACAAATTATTTACATATATTTAATATTTAATGTGTGTAAATATTTTATATTATATATATATATATATATTCTTCAATATTTTTTTAAAAAAACAACATATGTATATAGTATATTTAATATATTGTATCCAGTATATATATAGTATATATTGTATATATATATATAATACATTTAGATATTGTATGTATAATGTATATATAAATATATATACATATAGCATTTGATATTGTATATATATATATAGATATATATGAGTCCGGCCGCACTCCGGATCCCTGGTTCCCCCCCCAATGGTATGGTCCCCCCAAGCTCACGCTCTCGGGAACACGGGACACGGGACCATACATACATACATACATGCATACATACATACACAGACATACATACATACATACATACATACACACATACACACATACATACATACATACATACATACACACACAGACATACATACCTATCTACCTACCTACCTACATACCTACATACCCACATACCTACGTACCTACGTACCTACGTACCTACGTACACACGTACATACATGCATGCATGCATGCATGGATGCATACATACATACATACATACCTACATACATACATACCTACATACATACATACCTACATACATACATACCTACATACATACATACCTACATACATACCAACATACATACCAACATACCAACATACCAACATACCAACATACCAACATACCAACACACCAACATACCAACATACCAACATACCAACATACCACCACCACAGGCCACAGGGGGTGGGGGGGGCGACCAGAAGAACCATACCACCACCACAGGCCACAGGGGGGGGTGGGACCAGAAGAACCATACCACCATCCCAGGCCACACGGGGTGGGGGGACCATGGGTGGGGGGGGGGGGCTTGGGCGTCCTGGGTCATACATATGTAATACATAAAATAAATTGTATATATATACTATAGTTTATTATGATTGAATATATATTATATATATTATAGTACATATAAAACATATTGTTCACAAAAAAAATAATATGTAATAGATCTGTTTTTTTATGATAATTTATTTTATAATATAATATATGTATATATATAAGTTATAATATATTTCAATATATATATATATATATATATAAATGTAGAACATATAAATATTGTATGTATTTATTGTATATATATATATAAATATGATATAATTTAAATACATATAATATATTTATATATCATGTCTAGGCTGATAAATCTCCTCACTGACATGTGTCACCCTCAGATCTCCTGGCCGTGGCGCCTAGGAGCCGCTATGGCCTATGGTCCCAGCGATGGCCCAACGCGTTTGGTGGTCGCCTTTGCCTTCGGACTGTCTGTCTTGGCGCCGTGGTGGAATTGTTTCAGTTGCTGGGGGACAAAAAAAAAGGGAATCTCCAAATTCAGTGTACTTTTCCAGTATTTATTTCGTATTTTTCAGGAATACCAAAAAGACACCACATGGTAATACGTGATTTCAGGAATGTAAGACTGGGAAAAAAAACAAAAGATAAGTCCAATAGGCAATGTTGATGGCCTTCCACTGACAAAATATGTTGGTTGTTTTCCAGAGACTGGCTGGTACGTACCTAAAAAAGAGATAAAGCAAATCGATATGAACAACCGCCGCTGAAACCCGGATTCAACAACCAGCCAACATACTAACGCATTAAATTGTTGACTTTGGGCCCATAGATTCGATTCGTCGAATGACCAATTTCTGCTAGTGTTTAATTTCTATCAATTTTGCAAGACGCTTCCACACCTACGAATGTTCAAGTATTAATGGACGGGACCTCTGATGCCATAAATGCGTTGTGAACGTGCGCAGAGCTTTAGGATTGAAACCCAGTCATTGCCTCCCAGGATGTCCCAGGTAGAAGGTCAGTTCAAAATGCCCTGCAGTTTGGGGTTGACCCATCGGATTGACTAGAAAGTTGATAGATCTTCACTGATTTGTTGATGGCCTTTTCGGTCTTCATGTTAATTGTGGCCGTATCAATTCTGCCTTATATAATATGGGTTTGTTGAGTAGCTGGGTACCCAAAACAATCCACATTTGTTTAAATCATCATATGATTACTTTTGATATGTGATAATTGGAATATGTGATGGCATACCCACAAACTCCTATTACATTGTCGATGTCCCGTCCAGTCCCTCTTTGTTGGTATATTCCCAGTGAAGTTCAATCCCAAGCCCAATTGTTGAATTGCAATTTTTGATAGCCGGAATTGGTCAAGCTGACAGCCCTTCATTTGCTGAACAAACTTCCGTGGTTTCCGTGTTTTTTTTCCCTTAAACCAATCCGTTGAAACCTCAGCATGGTCGTGTTCCCCAATGAGCCCAATGTTTGGTCCCATGATCCAAGGTTTTTTTTTATGAATTATTTCACTGTGGTAAACCCAATCATAAACCACCTTTTTTCCTGTTGGTCCAGCAATGTTCGATCAAATTGATGGTATTAATTTCGAACAAAAACCTCCTTGGGTCTGGGTCTAAGGCCATCGCATACTCGATGGGTCATCACAGTGGAGGGCATCTGAACCCCGCGGTAACTTTCTCGCCACCTGGTTCGACGATGCTGTGGACAGTGGAGCAGTGTGACTGGCGTTGTTTCTGTTGTTTGTGGATTACCATTCGTACAGTTCTAGCCCTCAACACTTATACCTGGCTTATACCTTCATTTAAGTAAAATGTAATCTAAGAGTTAGAATCCCATGTAAATCTGTTAAGGGCCACAACTCTATGGGGATTTAACAATCTTAGCAGTTCAATGTGGTTTCTAAATAATTAGTTCGATGATTACTCAAACCAATATATGGGGAATATCAATCACATTCCATAGCGTGCAATAATTATTAACGACGGATGGTTTTGAACACTGCTTACATAAGCAGCGGATATAGTGGCTATATAACAAATGACATCAATGATGGTTTGCTTCTTTGTTTCTTCTTGATTTTCCCTCCTACAGGGCCGATATTCATCAGGGAGGTTGAAACCACCGTCGTCTCTGTTGTGGATATGTTACGTGGGATACTAAAAATCTATAAACATCTTACATGTCATAGTTCCCATGGAGGTTTCAAAGTTCAACAGGCTCCATTCTTGTTTGGGCTACTTGGGCTACGACAGGATGACCAAAGCAGAGAGGAACCCCAGTAATGAAACATGATGAAACATGGCTTGCAAAAACATATCCTAGAAAAGCATAGAAAAACCGGAAAACCACAACAAATGGGTAATATATGGTAAAACAGTATAAATTGACAAATCCAGCAAAGTACAAGGGGTCGCCAAGTTGGACCCAGTCTTGCGCCTTTTGGAAGACGTTACATCAAAGAAAAAAAGGTGGGAATTCCACACGTTGTATTGTTTGTATGTTGGTTTATGTTCACCACATCAATTATAGTTATATCTACCATAAATTCCACTTAAAACTTAAACTACTGAACTAATCCAACTTAGCGAACGAATCAGGCCCCACCTTGCAATATCATATCGTTGTTCCCCATTCACATACATAAGACACAGACCACTCTGATTCCAACGCCATCAGCTCTGCGTGGATGGGCTTGGGCTGAGGTTGGTTCTTGGAAAAGCAGTACCGTGGTATCAAGGCCTCTCCGCCTGACAACAGATTGGACAATGTTGTTTTCTTTTTTCTGGACAATGTTAACATATACTGTATATGTTAACCCTGGATCCATAGACCTGTGGTTTTTTAATGTTTTGTGGGGGCGAGGCTGAACTAGTGATGCAGTATTAATTGAGAATGATGGAACCAGTGGGGCCAACAACTGTCCATTTTGGATGAGACCTGCTGACCCTGAAACTACTGCTGGAACATTGTTTCCTTACCAGCCTACCAGCCTTATCTGATTTTGAAGAGTATTTCATGTAATTTCAGGGTTTGGAAGGGAGACTATTTTGAATAGAAGGCTAGTTGTTGCCAAAGAGACCATAGATTCATATATAATACTGGTTTGAGTGATTTTGCGCCATGCTTTTCGGTAGCCACTTTTAGTTTGACTGTTTACTTTATTCTTATCAGGACCTCCTTTTTGTGACAAACAGAAGGAAACACACTCCTGAAGTATTGCTTTCCTTAATGAAGCAACTTTGGGACCGCCACACACCTTTTTGGGAGGTTCCCAAGGATTGAACATCAAAAAATCACTCGATTTTCAGCATGGCTGGATGAGGCCTGGCGAACTTTGTGGCACAGATCATTGGCAGTTTGTCGGGTGCTGCCCTCCTGTGCGTAGCCTGGCACTGTTTGATACATATTTATCTGAATGTTCAATACGTGTATTATATATATATAACATATGTGTTATATATATAATTATAGTATTAGATGCATAGTATATGTGCAGATAGATTTTTATGAATATAGACATATATAGATAAAGACAGATCGATAGAGTAGGTATATAGATACGGTAGATAGATAGATAAATATATATATATATATATAAAACATACGGTAGATAGGTAGAAAGATAGCGAGCAAGCAAGCTAGCTAGCTAGCTGGATAGATAGATAGAAAAATAGATAGATACAGTAGATAGAAACGGTATATAGATAGATAAATAGATAGATAGATAGAAAGAAAGAAAGATAGATAGAAAAATAGATAGATAGATAGATACAGTACATAGATAGAAAAAAATATAGATACAGTAGATAGAAACAGTATATAGATAGATACATAGATAGAAAGATAGATAGAAAGATAGATAGATAGAGAGAAAGATAAATAGAGACAGTAGATACAATAGATAGATACGATATATATATATATACGGATAGATAGATGGATAGATAGATAGATGGATAGATAGATAGATACAGTAGATACAGTAGATACAGTAGATACAATAGATACAGTAGATACAGTAGATACAGTAGATACAGTAGATACAGTAGATGCAGTAGATGCAGTAGATACAGTAGATACAGTAGATAGAAACGGTATATAGATAGATAGATAGATAGATAGGTAAATAGATAGGTAGATAGATAGATACAGTAGATAGATACGGTTTATAGATACATAGGTAGATAGATAGATTCAGTAGATAGATACGGTTTATAGATACATAGGTAGATAGATAGATACAGTAGATACAGTAGATACAATTTATACAGTAGATACAGTAGATAGTAGATACAGTAGATACATTAGATACAGTAGATACAGTAGATACAGTAGATACAGAAGATACAGTAGATACAGTAGATACAGTAGATGCAGTAGATGCAGTAGACACAGTAGATAGATACGTAATATAGATAGATAGAAGTATTGGTTGATTGATTGATTTGATTGATTGATTGATTGATTGATTGGTGGATATATATATATATATGTAAATATATAGTTTGGCAGGCCGATCAATCGATAGACGGATAGATAGACGGATAGAGATGGATGGATGGATGGTTGGATGGATGGATAGGTAGATAGACTATGAACATACGTAGATTCATAAATAGACATTGCGTAGAAAGCGTCTCTATACATAAAGTATCTCTATAAATATGAATGTTTAAACTATGAATCATTAAATATATCATTGGATTATAATATATATATATATGTTATTTGCATATGTTTGCTTATCCAGTGATTGAAATCAATATTATATGATGTGTAGCATTTCGATTCTATTAACATACATTTTTGCAATACTCCACGTTTCTTATCATTTTACGAAATGAACAAGAGTTTGAACAATTCGATTTGAACCCTGGTTATCAAGTTGAACATGGACCATCCTTAACCAAATGTTTTGCTCTGGCTATGTTTTTATTGTTTTTTTTGTTTTCTGTCGTGCGTGGTGTTGATGCGGTTACTATTTTGTTGTTGCTGTTGGTGGTGGTGGTGCTGCTGCTGGTTGTGGCAGTGGTGTTGGTGGTGTTGGTGGTGTTGTCATCCAATTTCTGCAAACGTATTGGCGTTTGAGTAGGTTTTTCCCAAAATATAACATGTTTGGTTAACATCCAACACCAAGTATGACATGTCGATCGTATTCTTGAGTTTCTTTATATTTCTTTATTTGTTTATTACATACACCCCTGTAAAACAAAAAATGCCTTCTATATGTAGAAAATCCACCATTTGTATATCTATTATCATCATTGTAATTATGTGTTTTCCCATGTGTAGTAATGGAAAATCCATGAAAATCCAATCATTATAATTTTCCTGGAAAAATCATGGGTTTTCCATATCTGTTGGCAACCCACGGCCTCATGTCATGTGCGAAGCCCATCGACCCTGCGCGAAGGCCATCTATCCATGCGAGGCGGACCTGACGACCAATTTGGCCTCCAACATGCCATCAGCAGGCGCCCAGGAACTCGCAAAAACATAATTTATATAAGTATCTATAGTTATATATATATATATATACATATATTAGTTACTTTTGGTTATTTACTTACTTAATCTACATAATCTATATAAGTATATTCATTACTTGGCTTCCTAATAGTTCCCACGGGTATTTGTTTATCATTGACCCACATACATACATTTTTTTTAAGGACGTCACCGCTCGTTTTTACTTGGATTTTTTTGGTGTATGTTTAGAGTTTGCGTTCATGAAAACATGCATATAGTTGGATGTATCCAACCAACATGGGGGAACTTGCGAAGACATATTGGGATACAATGGGATTTAATGATATTTAAACAACAGCATAATGGGTAATTGTGGATTTATGGCGCATATATAATGGGATTTAATGGGGGGAATTTCCCAAGATAGCCATTAGAGTGGCAACGTAAACCGTCGTCATAAACCATTAACTTGGGGTACTCCATTTTCATGGATCCTATATCTATCCACCACCAGAAGTGCGGGCAAAATCTGTGGTAAAAAAAAAAACACATATTTAACACGATAAAGTTGTCTTCGGCTGGCTGTGTAAAAAGACAATTGCGTACAAGTTTGAAAACATACTGCTCACCTTCTCTCCTAAGAGCGATGAGATTCAGAAGCCCACGAAAAGTAACGCAATCTCCTAAGCTATAGTTTGTTTTTCCCACCACATATAGAGGGTTTTTAATTGCCAAGGCCGCCACAGTTTCAACATGAGACCCCAGGAAAGTTTTGTTTTCAGCAAAGAATGGCCGTTTGCAGATAGGAATTTAGAACAACCGCCATATATGTGTATATATATACATATATCATAAGTAAATAAATATGTATAATATATATTTATATATATATTATATTATATTATTATCTTATTTATATACGTTTACAATTATTGATTATATTTTTATTTTACATAAACATCAGGCATGAAACGATTTAGCATTACACACTTCAGTGTAAAATTGACCATTGCTTTCCAATGTGTAGCCATTCATTCATGTGATTGCCTCCAGAAGTGGTGCTTGTGACTGCACACTTTGCCATTGCATGGGACCGATTCTGACAATTTGAGTTCACAAATTCACAGAATTGATCTACAGAAATCCCAAGAAACATGGATGTGACATGGATGTGTTCCAGCCAATCACTGGCCAATCATTGGAGTCCATTGCATCCTGAAACTTCCGGAGGGTCCAAAAACGCGCAGGCTACACAGATGCTCAAGCGGTGGTGGCAGACTCTCGGCGATGGTGGTTTTTGCTTCGCGTGGTATGTCTTTCTTGGCAATGGAAGACCCGGTAGTCAAACTTGATGGAAAATCTCCCTTTCAAAGCTGATGTTCATAAATTTTCGGACTACATAGGTGATTTTCCATTGCCACGTTTGATTAGATGCTAAATATATTGCCGTGAATTAGTTGACCGTGAGCAATCTGCATTTCCAGGAAGCCATGGGAACTTTCCTTCTATGCTTCACCGTTTGGGAAAGCGCAGTGTCACCTGTGAGCTCATGTGGAAGGAACGCCTGCATCGCGAGCCCTGGCGTCAACCAAAACAAACCCTGGGGGAACTGATGGACATCAAGTGGAACTTGTTTTTGTGGCGCTTTGAAACAGAACCCTTTGCCGTAGTATGTGTATATATATATACATATACATATGCAATTGTTTGCCAGGTATTCTTGGTATATATGTATATATCTGAAAATGGAATACCCCAAAAAATGAGGGTGTATTCTCACCGTTCCCTATCAAACTTGCAAGTAGCAGTATAGCCCATCCCATAATTCTTGGTTGTATTTCCCGTTAAATTCCATTAGATCCCTTTGTTTTTCCTAGATCAATCCTGGTTTTTGATGCTTAAATCAAAACCAAGGATTTCGGGTGCGGTCTTTGTGTCAGTGCTCACACTCTTGCCGGTGCCTGGATCAAGGTGGTGGCTGTTTCTTAGAGGTGGTAGCTGGGGTTACAAACGTGGACATATAATGACAAATGTGAAGTGATGACTTTGGGAAGTGGTGGTTTAGGAAAGTGTTGACTTAGGGAAGTGATGACTGAGAGAAGTGTTGACTTCGGGAAGTGTTGACTTCGGGAAGTGTTGACTTAGGGAAGTGATGATTTAGGGAAGGGTTGACTTAGGGAAGTGATGACTGAGAGAAGTGTTGACTTCGGGAAGTGTTGACTTCGGGAAGTGTTGACTTAGGGAAGTGATGATTTAGGGAAGGGTTGACTTAGGGAAGTGATGACTGAGAGAAGTGTTGACTTCGGGAAGTGTTGACTTCGGGAAGTGTTGACTTAGGGAAGTGATGATTTAGGGAAGGGTTGACTTAGGGAAGTGATGACTGAGAGAAGTGTTGACTTCGGGAAGTGTTGGCTTAGGGAAGTGATGATTTAGGGAAGTGATGACTTAGGGAAGGGTTGACTTAGGGAAGTGATGACTTAGGGAAGTGGTGGTTTAGGGAAGGGTTGACTTAGGGAAGTGATGACTGAGAGAAGTGTTGACTTTGGGATGTGGAAATGGGCCATGGGGATCGAGAAGTCTCCAGCTGTCGGTTTCGTGACTGTTGGCACCAAAATCCTCCGCATACAGGCCCCCGTCTGGGGTCAGAATTACCCATTCGCCTCCGGCAATGTGTGACAGCACCAACCGTGCATGCAAGTGATGACTTCGAGAAGTGATGATTTATGAAAGGTTTGACTTAGGAAAGGGTTGACTTAGGGAAGTGTTGACTTTGGGAAATGGTGGTTTAGGGAAGTATTGACTTTGGGAAGTGATGACTTTGGGAAGAGGTTGTTTAGGGAAGGGTTGACATAGGGAAGTGTTGACAGGGGGAAGTGTTGACTTCGGGAATTGGGATTTTAGGGAAGTGGTGACTCAGGGAAGTGATGAGTTTGGGAAGTGGTGGTTTGGGGAAGGGTTGACTTAGGGAAGTGTTGACTGGGGGAAGTGTTGACTTTTGGAAGTGGGATTCTAGGGAATTGGTGACTCAGGGAAGTGATGAGTTTGGGAAGTGTTGACTTGGGGAAGTGTTGGCTTATGGAAGTGATGAGTTAATTAGTGAAGTGGTGACATGGGGAAGGCTGACTAGGCACGTGATGACTTTTAGGGAAGTGATGACTGAGAGAAGTTGTGAGTTAGGGAAGTACGTATTATAATGGCTGCATGACTGTTGCATGGGACTTGTGTTGGAGAGGATGTGGTTGCAGCCGGCGATGATGTTGGGCTCCCCCATTGGTGGATCATTAATGTGGTAAACTGAATAAACCATCCTTACTATTACCGGTGGATCTGAGGTGACTGGTTGTTCCATCAATCCTGCGCGCTCCTTTGGCCCAGCCATCATGGCCAGTCTTCGCGGCCACTCGAAAAAAACAGACTGGCTACTTTTTAACGTTCTGCCTAAAAAGGGAGAATATATGGGACTATCTCAATATTGTGTTTTCAATTTTGGAAATTCAGAAACTCATGATTGACAAACAACACAAATTTTGAGGTAACCATTTCTCAGATGCGCGAACGATCAAGATTCAAAGCCCTGAGACCCTCTAGTTTTTCTCGTGTTGCCGATAACGTCATCCCAGGAGCCCGGCAAAAAAAAAACAACGGTGACTGATCCCAAGTGGAAACATGAAAACCCACGGGCTAGCGGATGAATGTCCAGTTGGTGGTTGAATTCCCATGAGGTATGAGGATGTTCATCTCCACGCCCACAAAATATGTCTAGTACCCCATTCCAAGTTGATCAGCATTTTCCATGGCATTTTCCATGGCATTTTCCATGTCAGCATGGCATCAAATGGCCATGTTTCATTGGGAGCTACCACGAGGTTGCTCGAACTACACTGCAGGAGGCCTGGAGGCACTGTGGATCATGCCACTTGGCAACATCACCATGTCGACCCTGGGGCTCAAAGGAGACCGGGCAACACATCGCAATGCCACACTTGGGGAGTTAACTAAGGAAATATACATATATATATATACATGTGTTTATGAACCAAAGCAAGTATCAAACAAAGGCAAACATTTTGATAAATAGCTAAATTTCAATCTGAAGGAAACAACCTTAATTCTACCAACCAGAAATTGGGGATATGACCAGGACATATGGATATATGGTGTATATATGTGTATATATACTGCAATCTGAAACAAAGGTTGGTTGCCCGTTTCAAAGGTTTGTTTTATTGTCAACTCCATTTCATTCAGGATGATCCCATACCATCCATACCATCCATCTGGAAGACTACTGTACCACGGCTCGTTCCGTGGTTTCCCCTGATTTCCCTGTGAATCTGGTCACACTTTTGTAGTTTTATTCTGGTAAATTATTTACTTACTGGTGCTAAACGTAGGGAATGGATGGGAATGGGGGAATGGGATGATGATTGATAGTTATTGTGGATCATTCCCTCACTCCCTACTAAGCACAAGTAAGTTTAACGTGCAGGCTTGATGCGACGACTTCTCGCTCAGAACGAAAGTCTGATTTTGATCTCGACACACACACAAGCGTATCCTGCACGGAAACCATGGTCACATATGGTCACCACAAGCATTGCTGCATTGCTCATTTGAATTCATTTGACATAATCATAGAATTGTATATAATTGTTGATGTTGCTTCCTGAGGCTTGACTTTCAGGCATTTGTTTTAATATCACAAGTTGGATGATTCAAGTCCCTTCGAGCAAAACATTGGGATTTACATCCCGTCCGATGGCCATCATCCACGAGTCACCATGGACCAAGAGCCGGAAGCCATGGAAAGCCGGAAGCGACCGCGGGAAGGGGAGGATGAGCCGCAGGGCTTTTGGAAAGCGCAGCTGGAGGTGTGCAAGGGGATTGGCTGGTGATTTTCACTGACAAAGCAGATACTTACAGAAATTTATAGACGAAACAGAAAAAGAAGACCTGGCTCTGGGTCGAAACTTGGCAAGGCTATATAGTTTATATTAATCTGACCTCCAAGTGCCGATGAGAATCCCATGTTGCCCTTGCCTTTTCAAGCATCCCATAGCGTTCCCTTCATGAAGGCGATCTATGTCCGTCGCAACCCAAAGAAGGTAGACATGATTCCTGCACTTTTACAGAAGTACAAAGGCTGGCTGGTTGTGGGAAGCTGAGGTGTCCATGAGAGAGATTAGATGAGAGATTAGATAGCGGAGATGATTGCGATATGATGGGATACCGTCTGGTAAACGTTTACATAGCGAACTGGAAAATCACCATTTCGAATAGGCAAATCAATCTATACATGTGCCATTTTTAATAGCTATGTTAAATTACCAGAGTATCGCCAAAACAACGAAGAATAATGGCGAAGCTCCAGCCCAAAGGCAGCGAAGCTGTCCTCTATAAGAAAGCGCCTCGTCGCGAAGTGGACATAGTGTGGAATTCCCAGGGGTTGGGCACCGCCACTGTTTGTAAGGCTGGAAAATGATGATCTAAAGATTCTGAAAAGGCTATATATATATACGCATACATATTTTATATAGATATTGTATATAGATACTATATGTACAGTTTTTTCCCACTCGGTGATCTCTAATATGTCTTCTCGAAACATCGATTTTGTTTGGATATTTAGGTGCTGAGGTGCTGATCTCCAATTGCTCGGAGGCAATGCTTCAGATTTTCTCGGGATGGCGCGAAGCAAAAAACAAGTTTCCTAACTTGAAGAAAGACCGATGAATAGCGAGAAGACTGGCCAACAATCGATTTATATGTACATATGTATCAAGAAACTGTAGATGTCAACGCGTGACAGCGGCCAGTTCAGCAATTGCAAACTGAGGTTTGCCAGAAGTACGATTCTGGTTCAGCAGGTTTCAGCCTTTTTTCTGGGCAAATTATAGACAGCTCATATCCGCCTGGTCTGGCATCCATGATGTTGAGCGGGGAACGGGGAAGCCACCCAAAATGATCATTATCATTCATTGTCCCATGTCAGCGCGGTGTTTTTTTCCCTATAATTTGCCCAGCGATGTTTTTGATGTTTTGATGCCCGTCAAGCACCCGATGGGGACTGCACCGACTACTAAGCTCTGAGGGTCTTGCGTTCTCCGATTTAATCCGTCGAAGGTTCTACGTGTATGCAATGTAATCGAAATGTAAGGTATAGTGTAATGTCACGTCATGTAATGTGATGTAATGTAATGTAATGCAATGTATGTATTGCGCAAGGCAGTGCAATGCACTGCAACGTAATGCAATGCAGTGTATTGTAGTTGAATGGAATGTCATGTGATGATGTAACGGCATGCAATGTACTGAAATGCAATGTACTGAAATGTAATGTACTGAAATGAAATGTAATGTACTGCAATGCAATGTATATATTGTGATGTAAGGCAATGTCATGGAATGCAGTGCGATGTTATGTAATGTAATGTGTTGGAAAGTAATGCAATGTGGTGATGCGCTGTAATGCACGTAAATAAATGTAATGTAATGTAGTATCATGTTTGCATTTATGTATTTGTGTATGTGTGTGTAAATTTGTAAATATGCACAGTAAAGTGATGCACGTCTGTCTGTTTGTTTGTCTGTTTGTCTGTCTGTGTGTCTGTCTGTTGGTATGTTGTAATGTATTGTAATGTAATCTAGTCTAGTCCAATCAAATGTAATCTAATGTAATGATATATATATATATAATGTAATGTAAAGTATACTATATAGTAAAGTAATGAAATATAATGCAACACAATGGAGTGTAATGGAAAATAATGGAGTGTAGTGTATGTGCAAACAGTTTGCCGTATGGAAGTCACCTTGCAGTTTTCTAGAACGGCATATGAAGCCGCACAGGACTTGAATCCCAACAAGTTCCACATTGAGCCAGAAGCATGGCTGGAATACGAGCGGTCGCTTGGGCAACATTTAATGTGTGGTTCAGCGATTGCTGAATCTCTTGATATCTCTTGTCCAAGAAGATTTGGGATATATGTGCACATCTTTTGCCCATAGACAAACTGGTTGTTTACCGAAAAACTCCAGTTGATTCAGCATATATATATATATGTGTGTGTTTGTGGTGAGTGAGATGTCAAAAACATATCGCAAGTTTTTCTTTAAAGTCTTCGTGGGACATTTGGATGTCAGGATGTTTGCTCTAGTGATGATGACTTCTTTATCCTCTTCATGATCTTCATGTCCGCGCCCTTTCCTCTGCCTCTCAGGTCCTTTTCCCCCTTCCTTTCCTTCTTCCTCTCCTTTCCCTCTCTTCCTTTCATGTCGTTTTCCTTTTCCTCAGATGGACAGATAGTGTGAGGAGAGTACGGGCAAAAACTGCGAGGACAGTATAATATACAATACCGTGTGTTGCATGTGATAGAATTGGTTTTCCAGGGGCCACGTGAAGCTGGAAAACCGTATCAGACTCGCAGCAGAACATGGCTTCACTATTTTCGCCAGCGCGGTGCCAGACGGGGCGCTAGAACCTGTGAAGTAGCCGTAGTAGCCCATGTCAGGCTGAGTCATAGCTGTGTTGTCACTACATCAAAAGCTTGCGACTAGCGTGATTTTTGGATGAGTTTGCTTAGCTGTAGCAATTACAAGAGACCTGCGGCTACGTTTGCCAGATTGCGCGTTTCGAATCGATGTACTTTACACCATCATAGGAAGGAATAACCGGGCCCCCCCCATCAGAATGTCCTGAACGACAAAGATTTTGGAAGATGACACTGTGTCAACATGTGTCAACTATTCATGGACACAATGAGTACATGTATGCATATTTCGGGCTAATATGAATCTAACACCAAATTCACCAAAGGTAACCTATGACCAGCCGCCTTTCTTTCTGAAACGCCGGCGGAACCAAAGACTCCATATATATATATACATATATATATATATTACATACACATATCTATCACTGTAGGGATTGCATGGTCGACGTTGGGATTGGGGGATCATCTCCGATCTGATTTCTGTTGAAATCAGATAATCACCAGCTGTCAATGAGAACGCCATGTTTGGTGTTGTTTTTTGACATGTTTTGGCGCTGTTGTTCTTGTAAACATGATGCTGTTCTTACACTTTCCCGAAATACCAATTATAAGTCAGTAAGACACCCAAGTTTTGGAATGATAACCCCATTTACAATCATTTACAACTGGTATTTCGAGCTTTAACTGTAAGATAACATATCCTCATTTTTCCCCATAGTTGGTGCTTAGGACCGAACACCATGGAGCAGCTTTGCGCCCCAGCGGAGGCCTGACGGCCGGAATCCGCGTGTGTTCCAGGCGCATTTGATGTCCACAATAATGTATAGACAGACGGGAACATGTGCAAAGACAAATCACATACATGAATATATAATTATAGAATTATATATATATGTGCGTGAATGATTTAATTATACTATATACACAGTAGGTTCATTTGTGTGTATGTAAACAAAATCGACGTTTACAGTACATATTGTGAGCATGTGCAAATTGTGTTGTTGGACACATATATGCATATGTATAAACTTGTACATCATGACATTTACGCATAACAACATCTATACATGTAAACATCTGTGCATGTAGGCATCTTAAAGAAACATCTTGACACTTGACACTTTTACATCTATGATTTTGCACATCCGGTTATCTACCCCCACAGTGAAGTCAGCCAACTCCCAGGAGTCGTGCCACAATAGTCAGTCAACCTGTTGGAGAGTCTTGTTTTTAGAAAGGTTTTGTTGCAGCGCCGAAACTACCAATTGTTTATATGTACTAGTATACTGTATGTATGTATATATATATATACACATATATATATATATATCCATTTTTTTTGGTCCAAAAGGGGGACAATGGGCCTCAATTTACCTCGTTTCTGGAAATGCTTCAAACCATGTGATGATTGAATGTATGCTCATGGATCTCTACATATGTTTTCTTTAAATCGTGGAAGCATGAATGCGTTGAATATGTTGCTGGCAATATCTGACAACGTAAGTTAGATTTTTGTTTGATGTGATTTTTTTTATGTTTCTTCATCAGAATTTGGCCTGAGCCTGTAAACATAATACATAAGACTATTTTTCTATATAATTTAAGACACATATGTGAACATGTTTTTCAATAAACAACTTTCCTTGCTAGAGTGAACATTTGTTTTTTTCTCTAGCAGGTGTTTTGCATATACAAAGATATAATAATTATACGCAGTTCTTATAATTATCTATTATATATGTATATGTTGTATGTACATGCGTTTGCAAACATAGTTGTTTTCCCCTCACAAAAACATGTTGTTGTATAATTGCGAAAGTATCACATGTAAAGATACGTATTGTTCTTGAGACATACTGCATGTAATTTTGGAAATAAAAGGGAACATGTTATTCTGCGCAAATGTGACGCATATACGAAGAATGCAGGTCGGGCAAACCACATTTGAGCAGCATATTGGTGACAAACAAACACCTTGTCAGAGCCATTTGTTTGGAAAACCGGGATAGCACCAGCCACGGCTCCGACCTTGGACGGTTGCGCAAGACAAGTGATTACTCGTAGCATGTTTATTCATGGGCGGTGCAATCTATAATAGTCATGACTATATTATTAGAGTATTATAGTTGCAAACTATTATAGTAGTATTATAGTAGCAATTCATTATTGGTCTCCTGCCTTTAGCCAAATATGAAGCCACTCTGCTAGGAGACACGGCTGAAGCGGAGCCTTTTGAAGTTGTGGTGTCAACTGTTTCAGGCCCTGGCTGCACGGTTTTGTGGATATACAAGGGCTAACGCCCTGGTGCCGCCGACCCCCTGTCAAGGAGGGAGGAAGGAATGCGTCATATAATATATAACAAAAAATGTGTGTGTATATATATACAAATATAATATAATGTATATTTATATATATATATATATCCAGATCCATGAATTTCTTTGTTTGGACTGAGCAGCCCTGCAGCCCATTTCGCCGATGTGCGCCTGGGGAGCGGGTGGCCAAGCTACGTTTGCGCTGGCGCATGCAGTGAGTTTCGAACCCCCTTAAAGATACATGACCAGGCAGCTTGGAAGGCTGGAGTGAGGCAAGGAGGCCCTAGCAGGCCAAAGAAGGTGGGGCTGCCAGTTTCGAAACCCTTGAAAAACACATGACCAGGCGGCTATGGGGCAAGGGCTGAACCACCAAACAGCAGCTTCGAAACCCTTACTAGATACATGACCAGGCAGCTTGGAAGGTTGGAGAAGGTGGTGCAACAGGGCCTTAGTAGAACCTGGCAGCTTGAAAGGCTTAAGAAAGTGCGGAAGTTAGTCGGGCAAGCGTATTGGTGGTGCAAGGGCGGGCTGGGCCTAGTAGAACCAAAACTGCCAAACAACAGTTTCGAAACCCTTCAAAGATACATGACCAGGCAGCTTGGAAGGCTGGAGTGAACCAAAACTGCCAAACGGCAGTTTCGAAACCCCTTAAAGATACACGACCGGGCGGCTTGGAAGGCGTGAGAAGGTGAGGCAAGGAGGCCCTAGTAAAACTTGGCATGAGAAGATGGCAAGGAGTAGTAGAACTTAGCAGCTTGGGAGGCTTGAGAAGGTGGGCAGCGAGGGCCAACTAGAACCTGCAGCTTGGAGGGCTTGAGAAGGCCGCACAAGGAGGCCTTAGATGCCGCACACCTGCAATGATCCCAGGCACTGCCCCTCCTAGGCCAAAGCTAGGCAGGGGTCGGTGGATATGGACAACACAATGGGAACATACCTAACAAGTCCCAGTAAACCATGAAAAACATTGGAAAACCATGTGTCATCAACTAAATTGAATGTTTAGTCGAGTCTTGGAAGCGTGTGACCAATGAATGGGTGCGTAAAGGGAGGGCAACATGTTGATTAAGATACAGAGAGAGAGGGAGACATACAGATAAGACAGTCAACACGGACATGGAATCAAAATACATCCCCCACACATCCGCATTCTCAAAACTTGTTGGCTCGGGCAGCTAACCTTGCAGACCCTTTTCTGGCACAGGTGTCAGTTCATGCAAAATCAGCGAGCTAAGACCCAACAACATGGTGAATCTCGGCCCTGCAATGGAGGGGATGGATTCGCCAATGGTTCTTTCACCATTCTATCACGTATTGTTGCTTGGCCCCAGGGTTGATTGGTGGTTTCAATATTTCAATAGGTATTTTTGTTGCCATAAATGGGTGACATATTGTGACAATTATATAGTCCTATCCCACGGGCACTGCATGTTTGAGAAAGCGTTGTTCCAGGTTTGAAATGTTGGCCCTCAGAGGGTCCTCATGAATAAATATTCCAATGACACTGACCAGTGTTGAATTGGTTTTACAGAAAGAGGATGAAAGAGGAACATATCATTCGCGTAGCACTGAGCTGAATCAGGCCAGGTATTTATCAGAAACTTTATCAGACACTGGCGACCAGACATCTTGCAAAATGGAAGTTGGTTTCACGCACGCAAACAACCTCCAGCATTGGTGATGGCATTTGTTCATGTAACCCCATATTCACTGGCGGTTTCAATTTTGACATGTTAAGCTATTCTTCCACTCCTAATCGGGATGATCTGCTCTACTTGACAAACACATATTAAGTGCACCATCTGAAGCCACCGATCAGCATTGAGGAGTGCTGTGGTGCCAGCTTTTGCCATGGCTCTTGGGCGGGTCACCGACCTTTTTGGAAGTATGTCAGTCACTGTTTTTCATCGCCGCACCTTGACACTTTCCATTCTATAATAAGATTCAATGCAATGATGGTAAAACAATCATAAAATATTCTAAACCACCCATTTGGGAATGGTTTATAGTTGTGATATGCCATGTGAAATAGCCATAGGGCATCCCTCTTCTCATCCCTTGTATCTAGCTAGTTTTTCCAAGTGTGTACAATTCATTCTGGCCATGCCACCTTACTTTTGACTCAAGCACTGCGGTAAAAACCATTTGCCATTGCTGCTTGCGCTTGGTATCGGGAACCCCCTACTTGGCTGTGGTAGGGCGGTTTAACTGGTTAACAGCCTCAGCTTGACAGCTGAGCTATAAAAGAGAGTGATTTGAGCGTCCTGCCCCGCACCATCAATGTTGGTGTAAACGGACGTCGGTTTTAATGTTTCCTGCTGATGTCATTCTTGCAAAGCAGGGGGCCAGCATGACGACGCTTGGACCATGAGCGCCTAATGCGGGGGTTTGGCGGCGCACACCTCCGAGCCATGAGTCAACACGCGTGCAACTTTGATCAACTGGTTGCTTCGGCAGCTGTGTTGGCACACTCCTACCGAAAAGGGGGGAGCTGTTGATCATGGAACAGAAGTCCTTGAGAGCCAGTTGCCCTGGTGCATATCGCCATGTCTAATGGCCATTTCGTGGCTACTCAGCTTGGCTGATGTTTTGGCATACCATGTATCAATCATGATCAATCATGTATCATCCTGTTTCAGGTGCTTGGTACCTGAAATATTTGTTTTTATCACTTATCTATGGTGATATGGGGCCATGGGGGAAGGTTATTTTTGTCTTACCCGCATAAATGTGATGAAGTTCTTGCTCCGAAAGAAAATGTATGTCAGAAGACGATTCCATGCCTACCCCACATCGCAAGGAAAGAGGTCCTAATCCGAGCCAGCGAAGCGTTGTGCACCCAAGCCACTTGGCAGTTGGAAGTGTCTGGAAACTTCCATAGAAAAGAGGTTCCCAAAGATGGATGAATGGTGCGCCTCTAAATTGCCACCCAACAGACTTGATGGATTTGATGGTTCAAAAATCATGGAGAAAAAACGACCCATGCATATACAGCAAAATGTGTTTGTGGTGTGGGGTAAGTAATATTTTGACTAAGGCCTGAATGTTTTTGGCACATTGCACATCACACTGTTGCCTTTTGTTTTTGTTCTCTTTGTCTCTCTGTTTCTGTCTCTCTTTCAGCAGCAGAGTATTGTGCAGTATCATGGTTGTCGCAGATCTCAGTGTGAAACATGATCTAGTTATATCTAGTTCAATTCATTTTCCAAAAAAATATATCTAGTTCAATTCATTTTCCAAAAAAATCAACTGACAATCCATGCCTGTGGAATCCTGGGAGGCCTGGTGTTCGCACTTATCTTTGAACACCAAGAAACTGCATATGGATGCGAACTTGTCCGAAGCAGGTGTTTCTGCTGGAACCTTGTCTCAGCAGATGCGCTGTCAGTTCACAGATCTGCGGGAGGCACTAAATAGGTCACAGGTAGAGGATGTTTGAAGTGTCCACAACTTACCACTTTGCAAAAGTATTGCAACATGCTAGACCGAAGGGCGATCAGTTCGCCAAATCTCTGATTCCTGCAACTATAGTATATAACCGCACCCCCAAAAACGTTTGGGGCAAATCATGTTTCAACAAATTACTTATATATATATATACATTTATAGATTTATGTTCAAATGTATGTATATGCATGTATATGTATATATATATATTCGTGTGTTTGTATAGTAACTATACATACAGTTTACTTAGTTTACAAACGAAATTATAGCTATAATTTTCTTGAACAAGTACTTAGTTGAAATTGTTTTGTGGCTTTTTTTTCAACTTCTTGGCATCCGCCGGGCCCGCGGCCGGGTAGGCAGCTCCTTGACCTTGGTCCAAGAGCCGGATGCGGAGCTCATTGCCACGCTGCAGCGCTTTGGAGACGGTCCTCCAGCCGCGGAGGCGCCGGGAGAAGGGTAGCCGTCATCATACAATAGATATTTTTTTTCTAAATGAAAGATATTTGCATGTACTGTAAATACATATGTTTTTTTGTTTATGAAATACGTTTTTTAGAGTTTGATATTCCTATCATTCCTATATGTTTATTTATAAATCTAATTTGCAAGTACCATGTTCAGATGTACCCAGTTACATGTACAAATATGTGTATATATATATATAAAAGCCACCGCAAAAACCCTGGCAATACTAAATATGTATTGGACGGACATTGGTTTTGCGAAATTTATGGAAATTGTTAGAAACATGAGGTAAGCGATGGGACCTTTGGAAATTAGCGATACCCCTTTTTCAAGGTGATGTCATTGTATTTCGCTGATACCCATATTAGTGATACCCAAAAGGGCGAAGAAGAAACTCGAATTCCTGAATGCCAAGACAAACAAGTCACCAAGCACCTCTTCCAGCGATTCCTCTTCAGAAAGCTCCGAATACTCCACCGAAGATTTCGGATGAAACAAAAATATCAACATCGCGGTCTGGACTCAAGCTCATCACACATATATTGAATATATACATTTATATATATAGTTCATCACATCACATCAATATATATATATATATTTATATATATAGCAATTTCCTGCAAGCGATACACCCAAGTTTACCATATATCATATTGTACAAACGTGTGGTAAGCGATGGGACCTTTCCCAGTTTGTGGATGTCCTTTCCGTGAACCTAGGGTTTTCGAGATCGCTCAATATAACCACGCATGCATACGTATATATATATATATGTGTGTGTGTGTGTTGATATGGACATCATTTTTTGTCATATACATACATATATACAGTATAAAATATGGAGAGAGACACCGAGGGAGAGACACACACAAGTACTGTAACATAGCAGATTGTTTGCAGACAAAGAAAAAGTACATATGCAAAGACCGTTGCATCATTTGATCATTTGATAGATGTTTCTTGTTTGGGCTCCATTTTGATCGACTCTTATATACTGGAATGAGGCATGGATTCAGAATCGCTCCAGTGTAAATCAGCATGTCTCCATCCGGTGCTGTTTGGTGTTTGTTGTTGGTGTAGTTGTTTGTTGTTGCTGCTTGTTCTTCGCATTTGGTGGTTGTTATTACACTCTGGTAAACTAAGATAGCTATGGAAGATACCATGTTTAATGGGTAAATCAGGTAAATCAACGAACTGGCCATTTTCAATAGCAAATCCTTAGTTACCAGAGGGTACTTGTTGTTCATGATGTTCAACGCCCAGGTGCCCAACTCCGTCCATGTTGCCTTGTGCCTGGAGCTTCGGGCGGTGGGCCGTGATGCGACCCACCTTCTGGGAGCTTTTCACTGTCCAAAAAAGGCCAGAGATGCTGTGGTGAAGGCTTTTAGCCAGGAGTACCATGGGGAATCCTGGCACAATGGAGAAACATTTTTGATTTTCTGGGGAAGCAAAAAGGGTGGAATTTTTGGTTCAATGGGTGCAAGAGGAGCGATGTATGATGAGTTTGATGGTTTATATAGATGATTTATGTCCATGTGGAACGATGTGTACTGTCTAAATGTTTTACCATAGTTTATGTTTTACAATAATTTTGCCTATCAGAGATAGCCATGCTTGGGGGTTCTAATATTCACTTCGCAGTTGTGAGATGGCACAAATTGGCACAAAACATGTACCGAAATGGTGGATGTTTGTCATGCCCAGTACAGCTGTTCATTCTGTTATTTGAAATTTGCATTAGTATTGCCTTTGTCACTTTGTCTCCACAGGGCCAGAATTGATGTATGTTTTTTTTTTGATGTGCAGGCGGATCTGTAGTGCAGATCCGTGCAAATTAGATTGATTCCAAGCATAGAAACAACTTGTGTGCAATCCCTGGAAGGTATGATAGATGTCCTTTCCCGCTGGTTGGTTGATGAATAGGGGCTATCCATGGTGCGAGCCCATGGTTCTCACGGAGAACAAACACATATGCAAGATCAACAGCCAAACGCTTGGATTATCATCCCACCATGCGATAGTGGATAGTGAATCAGGGGCCAGTACCAAACATATTGCATAGATCATAGCGACCTCAGATCGAGATAGATGATGTGTAGTAGCGGAAATAAACTATTCTGAGCCATTCTGAAACTATGTATATGTATACATATTTGACGTGTATATATATATATATATATGATATAATGTATATATATATATATATTTCTTGGGAATTAGAATAAACTCAAAAAATACATAATTATTCATGCAAGTGGTAGCTGTTTGTGTTTTGGGGGATAAGTCTCAGCCATCAAGGTGATGAATGCCGAGTTTCGAGATCAGGGCACCGGCGAAGAGTGTCGCATTTCCTCCAGCAGCATGGCGTTTTCGGGGGGTTGACGTGCGTGCGTGGTTTTCACTGCTTAAAACTGTATTGTTTATTTGTTAGAACTGAGTACTATATGCGCTGTATGTTGATACACGCCAACGTTTGTGTATGTGTATTGGCTCGCCCAAAGCTACGTTTTCCTTGGCTTATCAAGATGTAGATGCAGATGCAGATAGATTCATAGATCACAGACAGGCCCTTCATTTTTTGAAACTGCTTGGACCCCACCAAAAGCCTTCAAACAGAAGCATGTATATCTGATGATATCTGTAATGAACTGGTTAAGCGCGCATGGCCGCTTTTCTGGTGGGACGCAAAGTTGTGAATGATAAAGTTGTGGTGGTGTCAAAATGGTGACCTTTACAGCCAAGCAGGATTTTGATTCGTACCATTGGGTAATCAAATATCACTTCCTGATTTGTATGTTATACTGATATGTATTGAGAAAATCATTTTCATTGCCATGTTTGCTTGCCGGACAGTAATATATATATAATTAATATGTTTATTTTGATAGAATCAAAAAACTCGGAAGTTGCACTCCTGCCCCAGGTGCTACAGAGATTTCCTTGAGCCTTGCCGACTGCTCGGGGGTGTACAAAATCTGGAAAGTGGAACGAACCAGCCTGGTCTAGGAATCTGGGATGGCATTTTGGTGGATGATTTAGAGCAACAGCCAAGTTTGGGACGCGCCACGGATAATCCAGATTCGTCAACCAGTGGGTTTACCTAGTTCACCTGCAAGACTTGCCGCAACAATGCAAAATATATTACTAAAGCAATAGGATCCACCATCCCCATAACATTTTAATGGGTGGTATTAGCATGTATTTGCCATCAATCCATATGAGTGGTTTATGACGAACTGCCAGAAACAACTCCCACTGTTGGAGGGTCAAGTAGGAGAGTTCCTGGAGCCAACTTTCAACTCCAAGCCGCTCCAGGGCATGGACAATGTGGCTGTACTTATTATATCCAGAGTTTGCTTGAAAAATAATAAAAAAAAAAAAGAGAGTCTGGGCTAAGAATCCTGGTATTTGAATGAGGAAATTGCAAGACTTGGGCCATATTATATCTATCTATCTAATTTCTATCTTATCTAATCCAATCCAGTCCAATCCAAGCTAACATAATCTAATCTAATCTAATCTAATCTATACAATCTAATCTTTGTAATCTAATCTATAAAATCTAATCTATAAAATCTAATCTTTCTACCGATCAATCTATCAATCTCTCAATCAATCTATATATCTTATCTTATCTTACCTTTTCTTACCCTACCTGATCTTATCCTATCTAACTATCTATATATCGATCGACCTATCTTTCTATTTATCTCTCTATCTCTCTATCTATCTATCTATCTATCTATCTATCTATCTATCTATCTATCTATCTATCTATCTATCTATATGTCTGTCTATCTTTCTATCTGTCTGTCTATCTATCTATCTATCTACCTATCTATCTACCTATCTATCTATCTATCTATCTATCTCTAGTCATTCCCTGGATGACGTACAAATTGACATAACTTCATACTTGCAAATGTTTGTTGGTTTAGTTGTAAATTTATATACTGACTGTATTCCTTAGGTTCAACTGCACTAGTGGACAATGTTACCCAGGTCCATGCGAGTACGACCACGCTCTGCCACCAAGAAGAAGTAGGTTGGCACGGATGAAATCATGTACGTAGACCTTCAATTACCCCTCGCAAATTGGTATTCACCTGATTTTGCCAGTATTTCAGTCATTTTAGACACGTGTAGGTCTACAATTTTGTTCAAGCAACGTTTTCTATAATGCATACTGTCCAGGGTCAGGGTCGTGAAACATATACCATACATTCCCATACCTGTTGTATGTTGGATTCCTGGAGAGCAGTTCCGGAACAGGCAAGATTTTGGGGATCGGCCCATTTCGACTGTCATAGCCAGTTTGAATTTATGAACAGGTGCATTGATGTAAGGAACTATCTGGCAAAGGTGGTGAATTCACCAAGACTTGAAGTATACGGAATTGCAAATGTTGAAATGATCATGCGAACAGGTGGATGGAATTTCAATGGGATTCGTTCCAGATTGTCTTCTGGGATGTTCTGGGCAAATTGCACAAGTTCATGGTTGATTCCCGAAATCGTTGCTTCGCAGGGAAAATGATGACGATGTTGCCCATCCCATGGCTGACGGCTGGAACACAGGAGCGCGAAGCAGAGAAGATTGCGTCAAATTGGAAAAAGAGACCGCTGGATGCAGTTTGTGCTGGATGCATTACTGGGAGTATTCCCATCTAAAATGCGAACATGTCTGAATTCGCAGTGCTTGCAATTTGAGCCCAAATAAGATACACACAGTGTATATAAACAATGTTAATGTTATAAAATGTTTTAATATGTGTACACATGTATATACAAACTGGATTTAAACGTCTCGATGACTTCACTGTGTGTGTGGATCAACTTGTCAGTCTTCTCAAGCGAACCTCCAGGGAGATGGTAGGTCATCATTTGAGTTCACCTGAACAACTTTCAACTGGTTTACATCTACGTTTGTTGATCAAGGACATATGTAGACGTTCCCTTTATTTGTTATATGTATGTGTATCATTGTGTATATAAACATTTACATATGTATTTAATTATATATATATGTAATTACATATATCTATATATATATATATATTTATTCCATTCTATCCCGACATGTTTTTGGTTGTTTACAGCCCGATCCTTAATCCCTTCCATCTAAACCAAGGTTTGTTGGACCCTTCCTGGGAGCAGCGTTTGCTACCTTGGCGCATCACGGCTTTATCCCACTGCCTGTGAAAGAAGGCGAACCCAGGCACGGGGTGAACGAATGGATCGTTGAGTACTTGAATCCTTTGCCATGAATGGGGGGATGTCATCATGTGTTAGTAAAACAATGTCATAAACCACCCAGATTTTCATGGTTTGTAAAATTTATACCCCATGTATGGTGAATGAATTTGGGGATGGTGGATCCTATTGCTTTACCAACATCAATTATGATTATTCATAATGGCTGGTGTCCATCAAATCTTTATATCCATCTAGTGCATGTAGTAGTGGTTTATAAGTACATCTTTTTATGAGTATTCATAGTGGTTGATATTCATTCAAGGGATCACGAAAGCTTGGAGGATCACGGGTGGCGGTTTATATTATGCATAGCTTGTAGTTTTTTCTTTGTATGACTGTATGAAATGACCCATTCACATCCATTTACTAGAACTGTTCACGCTTGTCTATGCTACATGACATCATTGTACTGGGGATTGTATGTTTTGAATCCCAGAGATGATGCCATTTAAATGATGTGCTTTGACAGGGGCTGCATTCACAAACCAGGAATAGTGTGATGTATAAAAGCATGCGGTGCCCGCTGCTCCAAGTGAAGATATTTCGCTCCCAAACTACCTTTCGCATCCTTTGCTTTGATAACAGTATGTAGATATATACAGTATTTCTGTATATGCATATTTGTGTCTATGTCTATGTGTTGCATCATTTGTTGTGTTCATAGATATCGACTTGGATATCAGGTATATACTCTCAGATGTGCTATGTAACAGTCGAGTCTATTTGGCCGGGACCGAGCCGTCGAGCCGCTACAGGACTCCATCCGGAGAGTCGGCTTCTCAGGGGCGCCTTGAGACCCAAAAAGAGGTACCCTCTAGTTGAACAGTTCGCTATGGAAGATTGATGAAGACTGCCCATTTTGGGATGCTTAAAACATGTTGAGCATGCGATGTTCTGTGGTTACCTTAAATAGTTCGAACGGATTGCAACCTGAAACTTAGGGTTTAAGTGAAAATAGTGAGTAAGAAAGATGGTTACCAATTGTATACAATCACATCCAAATGAACATGTCACATTTTTTTTGTGAAAAACGAGGTTAGAATATTGTCTACACAAATGTGACATGTTCATTTGGATGGGTACATTTTTCGGGTCCTGCTAAAAGTTCAAACATCGCTGTCGGTGTTACGCTTCGCCCAGAGACGAGATTTTTTGAGGATGGGATGGCCCAGGAAAACCAACATGGCAATAGAAAGGTCAGCACTTTTTCTGGTCGGTGCTAGGATGATAATCCCATTTCAGAATATGAATGTGGATAGTACCCAGGGTATCCCAGGGTCAGGAAGTCCTATTGCCATACCATGCCATACCTGTCTCTGTTCTGGCCATGGATAGTAAGCTCCATAGCATGTGTTTGTTGATTGTTTACATGCCACGCTTGCAGTATATGCTGTATATGCCCAGCGACGTGTGTGTAATACCCCCATCTATTATACACATACACACATAGACACACATAGACACACATAGACACACATAGACACACATAGACACACATAGACACACATAGACACACATAGACACACATAGACACGCATAGACACACATAGACACACATAGACACACATAGACACACATAGACACACATAGACACACGTAGACAGACATACGTACGTACGTACATACATACATACATGCATACGTACGTACATATGTACATATGTACATACATACATATACATAACATATCGAGTTTATAATACATACACATACATTTACATTTACATATACATACAATAATAGATGATAGATAATATATAATATGTTTAATTTACAGTTTAATTACAATATATTTACATCATATAGTACCTATATATACACATACCTCTGGGGATGCACTTTAAACTGCCCCAACAGGGTAGAGAAGGACGTCAAGGAAGAGGTCAGGGTGAAAGAGCTGCGTCGTGGTCGTTTTTAGGGCTGAAAATACCTATGGTGGGATGACCATACGCCATGGAAAAAATGGTGGGATTACCCTGGCACATATTGGTCTGTCCGAAAGTGGAGATTGCCGCAAATTATAGTAAATTTGAGCTATGATAAACTTGATAAGCTATGATAAACAATGGTAGACTGTGAAATATGGGCACACCGTATTTCGAGACAGACCCATTCGAGACAGACCCATATTGGTTGTGCTACATGGCATTACATGGCTAAAGCAATTGCATTTCAACTTGTTTTCAGCCAGCGACAGGATGCAGGATACTGTAATTCACTTAAGGTCTTGGACTACACACATATGCAGAAGTTGAGTGACAGAGTATGATCAAACAAAAGAGTGGATTTCCTGAGCTTGCGAAGAAATCATTACAAAAGAAGTGCGGCGATGGGTGTATCCACGCAAATCGATGAAATGCATCATTTGTGCCATTTGGGTAAGCCACAGTTTTGGGAACACCTCGAAAAATCCAGCACCAATGCTGCAGGGCACCACAATTGGCCCGCGTGTGATGGATTTGTAAGGCAGGGAATCGGGGAGGACATGGACACGGGACGGCGGGTTAGCTGCTAAACCAGGCAACTGAGGGGGATTTACTCTCTGGTTATTTTGACAGTTTGCTATGCAAAATGACCTGTTTATAGATGAATCACATATTCAGAACGATTATTTCACGTAGCTATATATGTTGTATCTACTTATATTCTACTTATATTCATTACGTTGCCAGAGGGTAATGACTGTTTTAATGACGACATGTTTCATATCTCCACAATGAAATTGTCTGAAAATGGTGGAAACTCATAAAGTAGCTGTGGAAAATAGTGATTGACCATGAAAAAGTGGGGTGCAAAATACCGGATGGTGGGTCAAACCCATGTCATGTGGTACTATCAGGTCACCCAGTTAATCCCTGGTTGGGTGAACAGTGAACATATAATATGTTTACTCTCCGATTTAGTGACATGAGGCTATGTCTCCGAAATTATTGATATTATTGTGAATCCGTGGAAGGTGGTGCAAACAATTGCAAACATCACAGAGCGGAGACAAACTCCATGATAGAAACACAGATACATGCACAAAATAATCCAAATTATACCATTTTGCAACTGCTTGTTGCATGAGCTTCTACTATTTGGTTTGGCAGGGATGAAGTGTTTGGTGGATCTACAGATAGGCTAGAATTATTGGTCAGAAGGTACATATACTGCAGCTGATTCATGACGGTTCAACCGCCAGTGATCAATCCCAGATTAAGCAGTGTTTTTGTTTTTTAAAGCCTGGGTTGGCAACACAATGCCCGAATAAAACTCATGGTATTCATCGTCCTCTTTGGCTACATGATTCGTAGAGAGGACTCCATTCAGCTTGAGATCATTCTTGTGTTCCGTTTGTCCTTGAGGTCAAAAGAAACAGTTGGATCTGTTGGTAAGCAAACAAAATATGGGGATGGGTCAAAACCGATTGTCGTTTTACCATATTTGGGGGAGTTAACATCCATTAACCAACTATTTTATCCCTTTATCCCATTTTAAGGTACCTGTCAGGTGCCAGGGCTTTGGCTCATACCCATATAGCAACGGCCGGTGGATTCATGCTGAAGTATGATCATCCACCAGGATAACATTAAGGAGTGGTTTCAGATGCTCAGAAACAGCGTCATTTCTTGCTTCATGTAGTATAGTTTTATCATGTTTTATCTTTACTCCACTACGCAAATATATAATATGGTCAATCATATGGTTAGAGCCAAGCACGTTGCCCTTCATTTGTTTGCAACAAATGGAATCAATGAAAAGAACACACGTTGCTTATGCAATTTCCCACCTGCCTGAATTATTCAATTGCGACGAATTGGAAGCCCCAAAGGTAGGGACCCGGTTCTACGTTTTTTTGCATAACCCGCATCACGTAGATATATCTACCATAAATCCTAGTCAACTTACTTACAAAGCAACTTAGCTAACTTTTGGTCAGCAGCTTGTACCATGTTCTTTCTTGCCACCTGCTGCATGGTTGCCACTGGCAGGTGTGCGGTTCTTGTATGACTTCCACAGGCTAAGCCTTGAAGAAGTTAGTCCATTGGTTGCAGGAAAGATGCACTCATTGAACCTGGCAAATGATATAGTAATGGCAACAACATCATATTGTCATGTTGGTCAGGTTGGTGAGGAAAGCAACAGCCAGATAGGAATGCTGTCGTCATTGGGAGGAGGGACTAGATCCAGCTCAATATCATATGTATACTATGTATGTATAAATATATATATATATAATTTACATATATTTTCGAGTAGATGAAAATCTGTTCTGTTCAGACCACCAGCCAGGTGCAAGGGGGTTGGACATACACTTCCAAAAATTATCAGAAGCCTTGTGGAAATGGAGAACAGTTCCCCTGGCATCAAGAGGACGTTGGCAACAAGCATGTCCAGAGCAAAGACACGTTCAGATCAAAGGGTCACGTTGCGCATCAAATCATCCAGTTCACAGTCCCTAAATTTAACATGGAACCCGACAATGGCCATACATACGAATCATTGACGTAGAGTTCCCAATTACCAAAAGAAACGACAAATAGAGGTGTCTAAGCTTGCAAAGTGGGCCGGCTTCACATACATGAGCATACATCTGAAGTTTTCTGGTCTTCATGTCCATTCACCTCTGGATCCGCTTTGTTTGTCCAGCTTGCCATTTGAGTACAGGAAAAAGTGTTTGGGGCAACTGGGTAACCAATCATTGGCAGTAAACTTCAAATTGTGTCCCAGACAGACGTACTTGTACCCATGAAAATACGTACAGGTCCCACAATAATGGGCATATATATATATATTAATATATATATATATCATTCTAGGTACTTGGAAGGTCTAGGTGTATATAATATTATATTATGTATAAAACACAAATTATGGGTACCTGTCAAACTTGAGAGACCACCACATCTTGGTCCCACACTAATCACCTTTGACCTGGGTCCTCGCTGACATTTGCTATGTTCATTTGGTCTCCAAAAACCTCCAGACCCTTGGCATCCGAGGACTGTGGCATTGTTTGGCAAAACAAAATTCCAGTGAGCCGAGTTTTCTGCCATGGTCCATCGACTCATGGCCCGGGCTTCACAACTCCACCAGTCGCGCACGGCGTAAGTGACGCGCACCAGTCGCGCAACGAAGAACTGGACCGTCCAGGGAATCCTGGAGACTCCTCTTGGATGACAAGTCTAGGTCTGGTGACTCACGCGCATTGTCGCCGGCGCCGAAAAAAAGAAACGTGACATGAGAGCAGTGAGTTGAACCAATGGGAACCAGCACTCTTTCTACTGGCCTACAATGCCTGTTTTCTTTGCCGTTTGTTTTGTAGGACTAAGTCCAAGATCAACTTTGCTCCCATGGGGAATTTGGATTGCGATTAGCTTTGTTGCGGGATGATTGGTGGACTTCGTACAGCACAAACCATGCTGAAATGGTATGGTAGATGGTTTTACACAGCCTTGGACATGGGAACCATGGTGGATGGTTACAAACAAATCAGATTTCCAACTCCAACCAGACCTGGCTGGTTTCCCCAAGATTTTCGGCTACTAAATGTACTAGACTATAACTGTAAGATTTAACACCAAATTTGCTGGTTTCCAAATGATTTTCAGGTATTAAAACCGTAGAAATAGGTCTAGAAATAGGTCTAGAAATGCCAAGAGTTTCTCACATTTCAACGATTTTCAACGCCTCCCTGCAGGCCACGGCATCGGAGGAGCCCTGGAAAAAAATGGTGCGATGCTGACATGGGACCAATGCCGACCATCCACGACCGCTCGGTTCAAAATTGTTGGCTATTTTACTTCATGATACGTCATGTGTTGTTATATTTGTTTTTTCTTTATGTTGTTTTACTTCATGTGTGCTTTCCCATGTTTTTTTTTGCATTCATGTGTTTGCTTCTGAAAACAGAATGGTGACTGTTGAGGAGCGTTTTTGTCCATCGAAGCCATTGCGCTAGTCAGGGCTACTCAGAACCCAAGTGATAGCTGATAGGGACCCTGTACCATGCCCATTAACCCAAAAACACAGCAAAAAACATCCCATGATGTTGATTCTATGTCAACCCAATGATCAAATTGATTGGTATGCATACACTCCTTGGGATCCTACTTTATGAGACATCTTTTTTTTAAACATCCTAATGTAGTTTATATATTTATATACATATTATTTTGAGCTTAGGATGATATCTATTTTGGTAGTCAGCTCATTTATAGATAGCGTTCCCAGTAAAAAAAACCTTCATGGGAACATGGGATTTCCCGGTCAACCATGTTGTGCCAATCACCAAAAAATTCCCCCCTTCGCAGGCTCGTGCTATCGACATCCAGCAGTCGATGGAACAGGCGCTGAAAAGAGTCATGGTTCCCTGAAGCTCTTGGAAAATTATGTGGTCTATTTTTGATAGTACCCACCAAGAAGATAGAAAAGTAAATGTGAACTTTTACAGAAAGATTTCACCGTTCTATCTTTTTTTGGGTTGCTATTTTTTTTTGCAATGTTTACATGCATACATGCATGCATATATACATGCATACATACGTATGTACGTACGTACGGACGTACATTCATACATTCATACAATCATACATTATACATTCATACACACGTGTGTATGTAATTGTATGTATATGTATACATATATGGAGAGAGACAGATTGATTTACATATATTCATTTTTATGTTCGTACAATTACAAACATTCACTGTATTTGTATTTATATGTATATTTATATATACGTATATAACTATATATATATATACAAATTATACATATATACATAGTATGGGTACTATGTATATATATATACACATAGCATAACTAATATATATATATATTACAACCGATAGATATGACATATATGGTTTCGAAAGTTCGAAGCTATCCAGCTATCGGGGTGGTAGTTGAGTGACAGGAGCAGGGCTATCTGAGTTCAACGTACCAAGGAATACCACTGAGTATTTGTTCCCTTTTCCTGTTGTCACCAAGGGCACGGGGTCTCCATTTTGTTTAAAGAAGAACTAGGGATTCAGAGAAGAAATGGATCCCACCAATTGGCACTCCGTCTTTGGGCGGGATACCAGCCTACGCGGGACCATACAGAAGCTCAAAGACTACAGCTTGATGCAGATACAGACAAATATTATTGAGTAATAGGTCGATTTTGGTTGTCTTCAAAGAAGCGACACAAAATCTGGAGATTGGAGATACTGCACACTGTTCCTCTTATGAGCTTTCTTTCTATATTTCCGTAATTGCATGATGAGAAGCCACAGGAAAACCATGGAAACACATGGAAAAAACGATGAAATTTGGGGGATCGCCTCAAGCCACCGACTGACGATTCAGAACTGGTGAACAGGATGAACAGCCTAGGCTTGAATGAAACTAGTCCAATCGGATCCATTGTATTCCATTGTCATTTTAACCATTGCAGTTATACCTAGACTCTCCAAGTACTGTACCTTGAAAGATGCGACAATATATACCATTTGCTTGGAACTTTTACCCATTTTTGTGGGGTACGGAGGGTCTAAGTATCAACAGCCAAACTGTTTTCGCCATCCCCCTCGTCCGACTCGTCAGGCGGTTGAGGCTTTAGACAAGTCCCTAGACATGGAGATTGTGGCGCGGGAACAGCGACAAGTTCACATTGAAGAGGAGATTTGTAAGGGCAGGTGGGGAAAATGGCAAGCCTAGAGCTTGCAGGTTGTCTTTGTTCACACATCCAACCGTCTACAATATATATATATATATGTATGTATACATATATACATACATTATCCATCATAAAACCAAATTAGCCTACTGTAATATCATCAATCAAGATGTATGCATGAATATGGCTTCATATGATTCCGAGGTCGGATGGTTGAGGATCAAAGTTGCTGTTACCTCGGTCAATGGTATGACCACATTTTCTGTTTATGGTTTGTCTCCTAGGTACAGATTATGGTGCCTGATGCATGATATTTGAATATAGTTGACTGGTTTTTAACTAGTTCGAACTGAGGAATTGAACATCCCATTTTCAAATTGTAGCCATCATGTGTCTGTTTGATCATGTGCAATGTCAACCTCCGATTAATCAACTCTGTGACTCTGTTGTATCAATCCGGGGTGTTCCCCCTAAATAGTGATAATTTGTCACTGAAATGAAATGGTACCCTGCCAATTGAACAGCCCAGTGGTTTACTAATGGGGAATTTTAGGTTATTATCAAAAAATGGACAAACATTGGGTGATATTAGGTGTGTATTTTTGTTGATGATTACAATGAAGATAATTGTTGATAATAGTTTTCTAGACCATTCCGGGTACCCTTGTTGAGACAAATTTATCTTCAGTTCATATTCAGGTACCTGGTTTTCAGCCATTTATCTGATGTCGTGTTACCATGGCATGACCCACCCGGCCTAGAAGGGCTAAGTTTGGCAAAGCGAACCTTACATATACAGTGTATTGTGTATTCATAGGAATGTTTTTGGAGTTGAGGTCTCTTTTTTTTGGATGGGTACGAATCATTCAATTCTGGGATTTATATTATATATGTAATATTATATACATGCATTATATTATGTATATAGTATAGACTAGGTATATCTGATTAGAGAATCTTGAATTTTGGGGGCCTATCCCGGCGTATTCACGTACCTCGGATATAGTGGGGTCTCTTCTCTTTGTTTGGATGTTTTTTGATCCAGAGGGCAGGTTGAAAGGATTGCTAGCAAGATGTTTTTTCTCAATAGATTCTACGTGCGCAAAGAAGGACCATGAATGAAGTGTGGTTTTGCTTCATGAGCAATCCCTGACATGACGATTATCCCTGAGGGGTTGTATCTTGGCGGAGCGCAGTGACAAACCACCGAACTCTCAGGTAATTTTACGTTGTGGAAACTGGCCCAGTTCGATGATTTACTGTGCCTATTTTGAACAATTTTAAACATGAGGATTTTTCCGTAGCCGCGTCAGTTTACTGGAGGCCAAAAAAGAGGAAACGCAGGGAGGGTGAATCTTTCCATCGTCCAGGAGTGGATGCGGGAAGTGGATCGACTGGATCGCAGGTGGGGGGAGAGTTTGAAGCAACTTCTCGAAGTCGTGGAATCGTGGAATTGATGGAGCATTGGAACATCAATGAAGATCACCATGTTTGAAAACCGGTATATAAATCATCATGTTTATCATATAAATGGGCCATTTTCCAAAACTATCTCAAAGAGCCAGAGGGTATATATGTGTATATATATATTTATAATATAATAAGTCCAATGCCATAAACAATCCCACCAACCATTAATTCGGAGGTCAGTTTACATAATTTTAAATACTGGTATACAAAATAATATATGTATATGTTATCTATGATCTATTTATAATCTTACCATTTTCCAAAATTGATATATTTAATAGATATATGATTGTGTGGGTTTCAATTTTGTTTATATATATATATATATATATTCGATACATGCAAACATATTCCGAATCCAGTAGTTTTGACATTTCTAATCCACGAAACTATAGATAGATACATCTTAATATTTATATATATATATCATATATAGATATATATGATCATATATCTATTATATATCTATATAACAATATTTCGGGATGTGTCAGAACCTATATTTCATCATATCAATATCTCTGGGGAACATCCGTAAATACCCCAAGCAATTTGAGGGGGAACATGAGGGTACCAGGCTAGCGGGTGCTAGCCCCAGCCCACTGGTTTATTCAGCCTCATGGGTTCATCATGTTCCCTAAAAGAAAAAAACGTTTGGGGGTACACCTCATCTTCAGACACTCAAATCTCATATTGATGGTGCCTATGTATCCCAGTATGTCTTATGTATATAGTCCATTACATACGCCAGTACATCTTTTGTTCCATTATATATAGCTTCCCATTATGTATCCCAATATATATATATATATATACACATACACACCATTATAATATATTCCCATTATATCCCCAGCATTTGACTGCCATATTTTGGTGATATACTGGAACCATTACAACTGATCATTATATCCATTGTATATATCCCCATTCAATTTTTATTGTCAGCCCATTATATCTCCATCATATTTTTGGTGTATTTTTTTTGCTGATCCATCTCTGATCCAACTCTGAAAAGTCTCAAAAAAGCGGCATCCATCCGAAGGCATGACTCGGTGGTCGAGGTCTGCGACAAATGCTTGGCAGGTTTGCATGAGGCAAGCGTTTTATGGTGCTGTTGCCGGCGCCTATGGTTTTGTCAAGATCACAAAAATACATCAGTGTTTGAAAGAACCAATGTCTATGTTGTGTTTTTCAAACCGCGTATGTTTATTTGCCCAAACGATCCAAAATCTGGGGAAGATGAGCAGATGTTGCTGGGGTTTCCCAGCAGAATGCCCACCCAGATATTGGTGGAGTCCATGGCGTTTCAGGACGCGGAGCAAGAACATGCGGCGCGCATTGGCCACCAAGACCCAGTGGTGGAGGCGCGGGCAGTTTTTACGCAGTTTCTTGGAGGATGACCATAGTTACCCTCTGGAAATTGGAACATTTGCAGATGATTTACTCTGGTGCAGCTATAAAAATGGGATAAAATTGGTGTTGTTCCATAGTAGCTAATAGCTATGTTAAATTACCAGAGGGCACTATCTGCTTAGCAAGTACGCCGTGGCTTAAGCCCTTGTTGGTTGATGATCACAGGAGGTTATACTACCCAATAGATTGGGCATTGTCACAGTCCATTATGGAATCCCTATTGACCAACCAGTCTATGATATGTAATAGAATGACATGGAATGACATGGAATGACATGGAATGACATGGAATGACATGGAATGACATGGAATGACAGAGGGTTTTGGACATTGTTCAAGTGATGTAAGAACGCAGTTTGAATACGATAAGCCACTTGGGCGACTTAGCAACCAGGCTTAATTAAGCAGTTACTAAGTAGGATGATCCTCCGGTTGGTTTGTGCTTGCTTTTCAGATTACATTAACCATGGTTTATGGCAGAAATGGTAAATCGAACCACTTCATGTGGTTTACAAACCAACAAAGGTGACTAGGGGTGTAGCGTAATCACTGACTAACCTGTGGACTTATAGTGATTCATCCGCATGTTTGGGAAGCATTTGATGGATGGCTATGGGTCAATATCTAAACATATATTCGCAGGGACATCCATCAGAGCGAGCTATTTTGGTGTAAAAGTCAAGGGTATAGGGGTTTGTTCCATCATCAGAAAGTCAAACGCGGGGTATAACCTATGATAGTGGTGGGATTTATCCTCTGTTTCAATGGGAGTAGAAAACCAACCATTTGATGATAATGCAATGAGATACAATTAATGAAAATGAATAGGATATGGCCAAGCAGCCGGTGCAGGAATTTGAATTAGGGTCACAACAGGTATCATAATCCGAAGACAACGTCACTTGGGAATTGCATAAACGGTTGAATTCTCGCTTCCCGGTTGACAGATTGAATCAGCGGCTTTGAACAGTATTCGATTCATGTGGGCAAGAGTGCAAATTGACAGTGGTCTAGGTAGAAGGGCAACATCAGCTGGCCCCAAAAGTTCTTTACCAATACCCAGACATGTTTTCAGTATCCAGGAGATGATAGAGATGGATAGAGATGGATAGATATGGCATTTCATAGGCAACCCCCGACCGCCGACCGCGTGCGAAACAGAAAGCGGCTTCGTCGCCCCGGCGTCGCCAGATCCTCACGAAGTTCCTCAACGACTTCCACGCAGATGTGGAAGAAAAGGCTCTTCAAGGTTAGACGATTAGATGATAGATGTTTTGCTCGCCTCCAGAGTTGGCTCCAGGAAAGGACGGTTTAGTGCTTTGGGTGGTTACACAAAACATACAAAACAAAGGTGACCATAGTGAGAACCCAGAATGAGAGCACCATTAGCTCTTAGGAGTGCAATGGAAATTCCAGCCAGGCCGTCTTGGTCCTAAAGTTGGCATAGAAAGGAAGTGAATGTGCGATGGCATGCGATGGCTTTTTCTGTACCAATATGTAACTTTATTTCAACCATGTGGGGCCACATCTGGGCTACTTGAAGGACTTGAGCTTGTTTACACTGATGGCAGTTCTTAGTTGTGGGTTTGTGATTGAGACGCTGTGTATGGACCCTAAAAGTACGCAATGGTACCATCATGTGCTTGCAAAAATTGTAAAACCTGTAATGTGTGTTTCCGTCAAGGTGGTATTTCACCCAGCATATTAACAGTTTTAATTATCAATAATTATATGTATGATTAGTTTAGTACTCGTAGGACATAATCATTAATGCATAACTATACACAATTATAATTGATATGATGTACTTTCAGGTTGGCAGGACATTGGTAGGTACAAGCGAGTTATCAGGGAGGTGAGCTGTGCGAGCGATGTTTCACTGAGCGACAAGGTCAAAACCTGCAGGGGGGATTGAAGGTCAACTGGCCTGGCTTCGGCACATTTTGGTGTAGTATATATATATATACATATATATATATATACATATATATATATACATATATATATATATTTAAATATATATATATATATATTTCCTTTCTGATCTGTGACAGTTGTCATCATTGTACAGGTTGATCCGTGTCATCATCAATTGTCTATTGATTGAAAGCATTTCGAACACGTGCATCTCTGCTAGGTTACAAGCTTGTGGTGGCTCGGGAATTTTAGGGGCACCACCACAAACTGACATGCGGAATAAGACCCCGGATGCGGGGTAGAGTGTGTATTTCGCATAGGGAACGCGTTCATTACTTACCTTTTCTGGGCAAATTATAGTGACCTCACTGTTCTCCCTCACTGGAATGATGCTTAGTAAGGGGAATCATCCCAAAATGGCAGTATTTCAGGTTAGTGAAATGGGGATGGGTCAAAACCTTGTACCCCTGGTGAACATCAAAATAGCTGGTAACTGGATGTTCATTCCACTAAAAATGGTATGTATAGGTATTGATCCATAGCCAAATATTGTAATTCACGGAGATCTTTTGCACCATCCAGCTTCACGGAGCTTCAACACAAGCCCCTTTGGTCACCTTGTGGCTCTGAATGAGAGGCCCATTCTGCTATTCAAAATAGCTGAAATGGCCCATGCCATGCAGATGGCTTTAGCCTCGAAGTCACTTTGGAACCACTGCTGCAGTCATGAGGAAGCCCCCAGAATGGAATGGTTGACATTTGTTTTGTTTGTGAAACATGTTGTTATCTTGACATATCTTGACCTGGACCCATAGCCAACCACACATGCACAGAGGGCAGGGTATTTGAAACGTTTGCGAATTGTTGATAGCGGAGAAGGGGTGATATTCCAAAGTCTGATAGGAACCAAGAGACTTCCACTTAATCTGTCAGTGAAGTTGCTCCTCAAGAACCATTCAGACGAGGAAGACTCTTAAGCTTAAGGTTTCATATTTTCACGTGTATAATACACTTACATATAATTTACATATATGCATTCCGAATGTGTATAATGATAATAATACTAATAATAATAAAAATAAAAATACATATAATGATAATAATATATATATATACACGTAATATATACACATATATATGATATATATATACATGTAATATATATATATATATATTTATATACATGCAATAAATAAATATATATATATACATGTAATATATATATATATGATATACATATAGATATATTTGCAATATATATGTATATATATATGTTATATATGTATATATGTAATATATATATATGTAATATATATATATATATATGTAATATGTTTCTATATATATATAATATGAATATATATATATATATAATATGAATATATATATATATATATATATGTAATAAATAAATATGTTTTTATATGTTATATATCTATATGTGATATATATATATATATATATCGATACGTGGTGTATATATATAAATGATAATAGTAATGACAATAATAATAATAGTAATAATAAAAATAATATATATATATAATAAAAAAAAAAACAATTTAGATATTTATAATAATAGTTTGACATATTTACTTATATATATGTAATATATGTATATATATATATGTAATATATATATAATATACTATATATATATATGTAATATCTATTTGTAATATATATGTATAATATTTGTAATATATGTATATATGTAATATATATATATATATATGTAATATATATATGTGCGTTAGTGTAAGATCAGTTTTAGTTCTTCACGTTGTATGGGACGTTACCACCCACAAGCCAGAGGACAAAGCTTCTATAAACCACAAAATCATGGAGCCGGCTGTGTACAGCAGTGGTGATCTCAACAGAGCAGATGCGAATCCCAACTGCAGTAACTTTGTTCCTTTTCAGAGCGTTCACCAGCGTACCCTCTGGTAATTTAACATAGCTATGGAAAATCACCATTTTTAATGGGACAATCAACTCCACATGGCATTTTTCAATAGCTATGTTAGTTTACCAGAGGGTATCTGATATCTCGAGATTGACCACTTGCCAATGTGAAGTTGCTCTATCGTCAAAATGTACAAAAGTAATCAAAAGTGACTACCAGATGCTCGGTGCAGTCCGAGCTACGTTGTCAATGTGCCACGGCAGCATCGAATCAGTTGTGCGCTGTGCATGGAACAAATAAATGCGGTGGACATGGGTTACCTATGACCAGCAGAGGTCAGCTCAATTGGAAGCTGCGATTTACATGATTGTTCTGACCCTTCTGATGGATAAGCCATGCTTATCTCACCCAAGAGTTTGCTTTATAGTCAAGGTATGTTTACACTGAGTCTGCACAGTTCCTATATGCTTGGAACTGTTCAAACCTGTCGATTCTCGTCGGAGGCTGCGTGCTTTGCCCCTTGGGCAACCTGGTGGTGTTTCACTGCTATCTCATTGCAACGAACACCACCACCAACGAGGAGAAGCAACGAAATGCGTTCACCAGTTCCCCAGGTGCCTTTTTGTTTCGGTGGTTGATGCTATACACATTTTGTTGCTTTGGGGTTATACTACAGTGGATGGAAGGAATCCTGCACCACCTTGAATGGTTGAAACCCTATAAATAATGGGATAAACAGCCTATCAACTGGTGCAGGATTTCGCAACCATCCACAGTAGGTCACACCATGTTATATACCATGTTATACCATCTAGTTCATGATGGGAATACTGAGACTGGAACTGGTCGCTCGCAGAGTCTCCCGTCAGGAGGTCACACATGCGTACGAGAGGACTCCCGCTTCTTCCACGGTTGGGAGATGTGGTGGATGGCCAGTCATGGGCTACCAGGGGATCCACATGTGGTTCTTCAATGTCTCAAGGGAATCATATACCTTCGCGGCTGAACAATGTTGAGCATGTTGAGTCATAGCCCGAAGATGGTGAGATGTTGGATGCTGTTGTTTTTTTTTGTAGCCTTGCACAAAATGACTTTTGGACAGTTTTGGGGTTTGTTTGACCATGGTCATTGAACACTGAACACCCCTGAAAAGTCACTGTTTCTCAGCTAGTCAACTCGGCTCATTCACCATAGTTAGTTGTTTTGTTTGTGACCTGCTGGTCACTGCTGGTAGAATTGTTCGTTTAATTTGCAATATCTGCATGTTCGAACTCTTTTGCAAAGAATAGCAGCAATTCACACTTCGGGACGCAGTTGATTTGCCAATATTTGCCATATCTCAATTTGTTCAAATTATAAATCTGGTCAATTCAATATTGTGCAATTCTATATCCCAAAAAGAGGTCTCCCTCCGGCGCATTTCCAGATGTCATCAGCTCCAGTGGACCATAGACATCATTCAACGTTGCTGGGAACTCCTCAGCCTTCAACAGAGCTGCAGCGTCATCACCTTAAACATCGGTAAACGATTGGTAAATGTCTTGAACATTCTCAGCACCATGGAGCAAATAGGGGTAATTGATGGTAATTGATAATCATATTGCACATATATTCCCCATCATTTCATCATGGCAATAAGTATTCTCCATTTTCACAGCCAAGTAGACGAATGGAGTCACAAAGCACTTCCTTTGGCTCACGGGCCCATCACGGCTTATACCTACCATTTCTGGTGATATTGGGGATGGTGTTCACTATTTATAGTTTGAACTGTGGGGCTTACCACATTGGAATGATCCAAAGATTTCTCATAAGATTATAAGATTGCAGCTTTTCCATGGTTTCCCAGAATCATGTAGGGTCCTAGAACCATTTGATGGTTTTTAAATTAAACATGTTGACTATGTTGTCAGGGAGAAACGTTACCCAGAACCAATAGAATCGATAGAGAAGAATTGTTTGCACGTGTCCCCTCACTGTTTCATCACGCAGAAAAATGAGCAGCTTTGTCTCTCGCGCCGCCAAGCCAGATTCAGATCTAGCAATCTTCACAGAAGGTCATGGGCCGAATGAAGCACTGAAGAACATGCGTAAAAGTACAAACGCAAGTTTGAAATACAGTACAGTTGTGCTTCATCAAACATCTTTTATATAGGTGTGAATGCCACGAAGATCTTGATGACACATGAAAAACTGCTCAGTTGCCACCTGCTCGTGCAGATACCGTTTCCTCTTGCACTTCAACTTTTGGTTCGCACTTTGATCAGAAAAGACAAATGTCGATGTCATCAATACAGAAGCCTGGTGAGTTAAGAGAGAGCCAAAAAAACACTGCCATCCTAGATTGGACTCTGCTGTCTCCAACATCTTACTTCCAAATAGCTCTAGAACATCCCCAAGCCAGCCACTGTGGTAAACCGAAATCCCATAATAAACCATCCCAATATCACCAGAAATGGTTGGTATAAACCCTCCAAAATTGGCGGTGTTTGATTGGGTTTAC